AGGAATAATGATACCCTAACCTCTACCGGTACCCTCGTACGTACCCGCGTTTCCGTTCGCGTGTGGAGGGTTTTCCCGTCGGTCGGGATTTTTCGGCCTTCGCCAGAGTTCGATATCCTTTGAGGTTAGGCTGGTGCGCCGCTGCGGCAAGATGGCTGCCCACGCGAAGTATGCGCCCGTATATCGGGCCCGGTCGAGAAAAATCCACCGGCCGTGTGTAATCCGTGTGCAAGAACCCACCTAGAAAGTGCGCCGCGCGGTTACGCCGTTAATAGCGTCGCCTTAGAGCCGACTGGCGGTGGGTCACGTGACGCGCGATCGCCGCCATCTTGGATCGCGCCGAATCCCGCGTAGCGTCACCAAGACTCCTCGAAATCGGGCAAGGTTCCCTACCTCCCAGGCTCCCAGTAAGTGTTTACGCGTGCAAATATGAGATTCGATCGAAGGAGGGATTTTCATTCCGCGGAGATTCTCTCGTATCTTCCTCAATTGGGACCGATTAATTCGCCCGGGGTCGCTGTCCGCCATCTTGGATCTTCCGGAGGGAGCAGAGGGGCATGACTGCACGCCGGGTACAAATTGGAAGACGCTAATTTACACACGGGTTCGCGCACGGGGCTGTTTATTAACTCGCTCAAGTTTACCAGCCAGCTAGCCGGCTAACAAGGTAAACAATGTTTGGCAATTATCCCGGTTAAACGATCCCCGAGGAGATAGGACGCCGCGCCGCAATATGGCGCCCGCCCGATATTGGCAGCCTCTCCACTTCCGGCCTCCCCTGGCCCCCCCCTCCCGGAAACTTCGCGTTTCCGGTCCCGAGGCGGGATCTTACTTACCGACGGCGGCGTCCATTCATCGCGCCGTTCTCCCGGGAATCGATTCTACCCTTCGCCATTGTGCCCCTTTTTCCTCCCTTTGTCCTCCAACCCTCGGTCACGTCGACCTTCGACTTAAAATCCTTAATCAAGGTTTACCCAACCCCCGATTAATCTCAATCGCCAGATCTAAGGTTATCTACGTGCGAAACTTAATCCGCCGATTAAGAGATCCCTCGTTAATCACGGTTGGGGTAAACGACTTTGTCATAGGTTATAGGAGAGACGTGATGTCCTATCGTATGTTCCGAATGTTCGATTCCTCGAGTCCCAGTTCTCGATTCGTAATTGCGCGGATTATCGCGCGAGTGGGGGGGACCGGGTGGCGCGCTTCCTCCGTCTTTCTTGCGGCGCGGCGTGACGTGTGCGCGGCCGTATGCAAATCAATTAACGGTGCATCCGCTCTTGAGCCCGCCATCACCAGCGATTGACCGGCCGAGTCGATACCAGTCGACGCACCATCCCTCGGTTCGTCATCGGTATCGAATATTTTTTTTCCACCTCCCCGCGGACCCCGTCTTACCCGCCAATTTGTCTACCCATTCGTCCGGTTACTTTTGAATTTTTACCCCGGGCCGCCTTTCCCTTTTCCCCCGCCGGGCCGAGGCGAGCGCTCGGCGAAGTACCGGTTGTCACTAGCGCGCGCGCGAGCGCGCATGCAGCACTGTTCTCGCCGTAAATAAACCAAACGAAAGGGAACCGGTTTCACTCGGCTTATAAATGTCATCGGCGGTGCTAGGAGCTTCGGGCCATGGTTTATCGGTCCCCTTGGGTGAATCGACGCGCCCGCCCGCCTCCTCCCCCTCCCTCTTCGCCGTCGCCCCAGCCGGGCTATCCTAGCTGAAAGAAATCGACGCTCCATCGAATACGAAATCCTCTCAAACCCCCACGTAATAATTGATTTTCATTATCTTCGCCATTTTCTACGCGTCTTTCCAATATCTCGACATGCCTTATCGATCGATTACTCGAAATAAAGGGAATAAAGGGTGAGAGATTTGGGCCAGATCCAAGATGGCGGCCGATTGCCGGCATCACCGACGCGTCGCCCTGCCTCCCCTCTTCCCGACATGCCCGCCATTCTCCATCTCGGCACCTCCTCTCGTCTCGCGCGACGGAGTGCATTCAATTATTGACTTAATCGCCGCGTCGCCATTAGCATGGCCCTGAATAATGCATGGCCGAATGGTTAATCCGGCAGTATGTAAATTAATCCCTCTAATTGCGAGCGACAAAACGCGCGCCTCTCTCTCCTTCTCTCTCTCTCTCTTTCCGCAGTTTCGCACGGGCGCGAGGAAACGGGATACGACGAAAAAGAAGAAGAGGAGAAAAACGGCAAAAACGCAAGGGGACCGATAAAAGGGTGGAAAAGTCCGAGAAAACTCTTACGCTATTTTCATCCCTCGGGAGCAACGGGCATAAAGGACGGAATTAAAAAATGGCGATCATTCACATTTTTGAAAAAGCACCCGGGTGTAAAGATTCCCGTGCATCGCTATGAATGCATGCCTCCAGTGCACGTATGCACCCCGCGACTGGCGCACCTGTTCGCGGGGGGGTTGGGGGGTGACACCCCCCACGGATCGCGTTCGCGCTTTTGCTCTCGTCCCCGCGAAAGCCTCGCCTGGAGGACCGGGAGGACGCTTAATTGCGTCGAGCTGTCTCGCCTGAATGTGCCCCCCCCCAGCCCTGTATACTCACCCCGACCCGGGAAATTAACTCTCCATTTTCTTGGCGAATCGCTCGCTGTTGAACGCCCCTTACCCTCAGTGCGAGGAAGAAGAAAAGCGCGTTTTATTTAGAACGGGGGGAAGAGTCATCGCGAAGTGCGACCCTAAAAAGAGGTGGAATTCATGTGGGGGGTGGGGGCGGGGTGTCATCGGATTTCGAAGAAAGGGTCCCTTTTTCCGGGGGGGTGAGTCCTTTCAGTCCCTCGCATAGGAGTGGAAACGAACCATGGAAATCGCGTTCACTTCACATTTGTACGAATCGGCATTTGACGCGAAACTCTACCGAGGTGGGTGACGCGGATTAAGGATCGGCCTTGGGGGGAGGGGGGGTGTTTACTCGGGGGGGTGCGAAATTAATGGCGGTCGCCCTAAACCCGCGGATGGGGTCCCCGGTGCATCCTCGAGCGCCGTCCGAGCGCCTCGGGGGGTGGTCCCCCCCATCCCCCAGAGCGGGCGGGGGCGCGCCAGGGACAAGGGATGGCGATATATAATGTTCCGCGATATTAAACGGGACGCATTCCACCGAAGCCACCCTCTGGTCTCCGGCATGAATGCTTCTATGACCCCAGCCCCTCGCCCCGCGGAGGACTCCAAAGACCGACCACCCCCGTCCCCCGGATTCCCGATCGTTGGACGCCGGATTTACAGCCTCGGTCCTGCATCAGGGGGGGGGGTCGCAGCCCTCCTGGTCGAGCCTCCGAATTCGAGGGAAGAAGAGTCAACCCCCTTGAGTACTCAGAAATAATTCATTAAAGAAACGAACGTCAGGGGGTGCGGCAAGATAACGCGTCGCGAGATAAGGGCACGTGGGGGGGGTTGGGGGGTGGATTCCCGGGCCGGCGACGAAGTCGGGCTCGGCTCCCGATGGACGCCCCGGTTAGACGGCTGCGGTCTTGTCCGGCATTCCGGGGCCACCCCCGCCCCTCGCCCCCACCCCCACCACCCACTTTCCACCCAGCCACGACCGCCGAATGCAGCCGTGCGTCATCCGCCGTGATCTATGCGGCCGCGCTGCAGCTGCAACCCCCGCGACGTTACCGGCAACGCACCCCTTGTGGGGGGGGGGGTCAAGCCCCCGCCCGTCTCTCCATTAAGCCCCACTCATTTTCCCCTACGTGCCCCGCATTTCCGGCATATGCCGAGAGCCTCCCTCGGAATTGACGCGGGTGGGGGGAGTTCCCCCCGACCTCGCGGGGGGTCGCGAAGTCGAGACGGGTGGGAGCGAGATAGCCCTCCCTTGAGCTTTTTCGCGAGAGCCTGGCTTAATTAAGCACCCGCCTTTCCATCGGCACGAAGGCCCCCCAGGGGGTTGCCTTTCTCCTTAATAAATAAAATCTCTTAAATAGAATAGATCGGTTTGGGGCAAATTCCCTCCCCTTACCTTGCACCCTTAGGATCGCCATATCGCAGTTTTCTGTAAATGCTCGCATCGAGATATGTCTTCATCTCGGTATCTCGTTTCTACTCTTAGGGTACCTTATCGTGGGGTAACGAGAGCGCCCTTAATTTCGCCGGAAAATGTCGCTTAGGGGGAGGGGGTGGAAATATCTCGCAAGGTCCTCGGGATTGTTGGAATTGTTTTCGGGGGGTGAAATCGGTCGAAGATATCCCCCCCTCCGTAGGTTATCCTGGTTTGCACCTCGCGGGGCGGAAATTGGGGTGGCGACGAGGGCGAACGGAGGGGGAGGTTAGGTTAGGTTAGGTTAGGCCGTGGGTGGCGGAGCCGACTTGGCGGCTCGGAGGATCCGCGGGGGTAGAAGTGGTTTCGCGTTCACTCCACCCCCGGGAGGCGGAGCCGCCGCCCACGGGCTGCCTCCGCCCCGTCGTGCTTACGGCACTGATACGCGATATCAGGGACCACTTGTTGCTCCACCAACCCCCGCGTTATTTTTCATGCGCTGATTTTTCTCTCCCCCCCCCACCACCACCATCCGGCGATCCGTGTTAACGGGGAAACATCGCGGAAAACGGCGGTGGACTAGGAAACTCCGGAACTAACCTCCAAATTCTACCCTAGAGGCGCGCAGAGGAGGACTTCCGGTACCGGGATTCCGATACCCCGAGAAAAAAGAGAAAATGTTGAACGAACGGTACCTGAGAAATACTTTCGTTTAACTCGCGGAATAATTATCTCATTCGAGTAAACGAGAATTAATTCCACGCGACGGAAATTCGGAATTATAATTTGTATTTGAGTTTATTCGGGTGAAATGATTGTTCATTGAATTAATTAAATTTTTCTTCGGTACCTTTCGAGATTTCATTTCCGTGGGTTAGGGAGATCTCCTTTTTCTCAGAGTGTACGGTAACGAGAAGGTGGAACGTCTTAATGATTTCTCTTCGCCTGGTCGATCGCTATTTATCGTTTCTCTTTCCGTTTCCCTTCTGTCCGCAGGCAGTGCGGTGGCTGCAGCCGACACCATTTCCTCGCCGTGGACCCCCGCGAGTTCCGGGCCGCCGCCCGACGCCAACGGCTCCGGCTCGGATACGAAGAACCTCGACGTTGGCGAAATCAGCGATGTAAGGATTCCCGTTGGCCTTCTCCACACAAGTCTTCGGTTTCGTTGCACCTTCTTACCCGACTTTCGGTTTCCAGGACGAGAAGGACCTGTCGGCGGCGGATGCCGAAGGCGTCTGGTCGCCGGACATCGAGCAGAGCTTCCAGGAAGCTCTCACGATCTATCCGCCATGCGGTCGTCGCAAGATCATCCTCTCGGACGAGGGGAAGATGTACGGTGAGTGGAGCCTAGAGACATATTAGGAAAGGCTCCCTCGAGCCCTCTCGGGAGAGCCTTTCCCCGACCCTCAATTCGCGTCGACGGCCCGGCAATCGGCCCTCGAAGTCGCGAGGTGGGCCGCGCGACCGGCGCCATCTTGGGAGCGGCGATCTTCGCGCGGGCGGCCGAGGTCGGCCGAGTCGGCCCCGGGCGCCCGCCTGAATCGATTCATTACGGCACAATGTCGCTTAATTTTCAAGTTCTAAATGAAAACCGGGCGGGTATACCTTGGCGGGGCCGGCAATGTAATCACGCGTAGGAGGACCTCGCCTAATTCGATTTTCGCCCCTCGCGCGGATGAAAACGAGCCCGCCACCCCTGGAGGCGCCCTAGTCCTGCACCTCGCGTCTTCCGCCATCTTGGATCACGTGACCCCCCCCCCCGAAGACGGCGTATCCGCGAAATAAATCGCCTATTTACCTTTCCCCGGTGAAACCCCCGGCGACACGGGGGTTTAGGTTAGGTCGCGGGGGGCGCAGATCACACGCGCTCGCCCATCAAATTTACGACGCCGTCCCCTCGGCCGCGGCCGCCATTGTTTCCGCAACCGTAAAACCGACGCGAGATTGGTTCCGGAGCCGCGGCGACGCGGTTTAACGGCCGTCGCGAGATCTCGACGTCCATTCTCGACCGACGACCGTGTGCGAGGGATCGACGGGCCGTAACCGGAGATCGATAAGGCAGGAAAATGCAATCACGCGCCCCGTACGTCCGCGGTCCTGTACGCTGGCAACTGAGGTAGAGTCTCGCGCCAAGTGCGCCTCACCTTGTTTACATTTGCTAACCGCGAATACCAACATGGCGGGTGCCCCGAGAGGCGGAAAGCGTCGATTCAATATTTGCATGTCCGGCGGGCATATAGCACGCAATCTTGCGCGTCTCCCCCGGGTGTCCGCGGACAGAGGCGTCGGGACGCGCCGCGACGCCGGGGGCGGGCGAAGGGCCGGCCGGTGTCCAGTTATTGACCGGCGGAAGGAGGGTGGCGCGTCTCGGCGTCTCCGGAGACCGTCCTTTTCGTTCCGCGACGCCCGGCGTCGCCGCGGCGATCTCCTCGGCGCGCGAGCGTTTACCAAACCGCTCACTAAAGCATACGCGCCCCCTTTTATTTGATATTTCTTTTCTCTCTGCTCGCACATCCAATAACTCATTTCTGGGAGGCACCCTAACCTCACTTTTTATATTCCCCTCGTGCAAAGCCCTAGTCTTGAGCCACTACTAATCGTTAATAAGTATCACCATAGATCTCGTAATTCCCTATTTAAAAGATAATCATTTACGAAATTAATTCCCTTTCTCTGAATATTGAAAGAAATGCTCTCTTCGGGGTCGGTGTCGCGTAGGTGGGATTTTCTGTGAGTTTCCTCTACACTTTTTTTTTCTTTTTTTTTTATGTGGTGAATTTAGAAATAATGAGGTAGAGCATATTATCAGGTTTTGGACGAGGGGTATGGGTGGTTATCTTTCGTTGTTGTGGAATTTTGGCGAAACTTAGATTACCCTTTACGCTCTAGGTCCCTTCCTCCCCGAATTCGGATTTCAGGATCAGGATTCGGGAACGCGCAGCAGGTCCCGTTCGATCGGCCTTTCATTTCCGCGAGGTTGACCGGCGCGCCCGGGGGACGTCCCCGGGACTCCCAGGGATTTCGCGTCCCGGCTCTCCACCTTAACTCGACTCCAAACTCGCCTTCTCGGCTCCTGCTCGCTCCTTACCTGTAACTATGTACACGCGTACATGGACCCATATATCGGAGCCAATAATCCGGCGAGACGCCGCCGGAGCGTGAAATTATGGACATCGATAACCCCTCTCGAGACTCGGTCCCACCTAAGTGGCGCAAAACGACGGGAAGCGCCGTAGAAATCGGGATCGGCACCGGAAGTGCGAGTACTTTCCCACGAGTCGGCCGAGCCCGACCTGGGACACTATCGAGATGATATCGGATGAGATGATCGCGAGATGATATCATACAACGTGATATAATCATTAAAAATGAATTACACGCGAGGAACCACCCCCCCAATTTTTCCCTCTAATCTCTGATAATGCAGCTCCTAGTGCTTCGATCCCTAAGGACAGTCTGCCCCGTAAGGGCGATTTCCGGTCCCAGAAGGGTAACCGAGTCCGAAAGCGACCCTCCCCCGAGGGTCCGCTCACCCCTCGGGTTTTTTCGAGCCCCCTTCCCCCAGGGGAAGCGGGTGACCCAAATTCCAATTTCGCCCCCGCGCGTTCTCCAGAACTTCCCACGAGGAGGAGGGTAGAGTCCTCCAGGGGTTGCAGCCCCACGTTCCGTATACCTCACCAAGAACTCGGCACCACCCGGGGTGGATTTAATTCCCGGATCTAAAAGCTTAAAAATCGCCCTTCATCGTCCTCCGCGACGAGGGACACCCTTTCGTCCCTTTCCTCCCCGCGTTTCCGGAGTCCCGAGGAGGCCGAGCAGGGGAGCGGCCATCTTGCGCCTCCACCCCCGACCCCCCAGCAAGTTGGAACGAGGACGCCGAGGGATGTAATAATCTGCGTCCGCATTGTCCGTCTTGCCGGCGCGGCGAGTCCTTTGACATCTCGCGGAGTTTAATTAAACTCGAAGGTAATAGGCGGCAAGATGGGTCGACCGCCCCCCGCCCCCGCCCCGGCGACAACCTCGGACCACCCCGCACCCCCGACCCCTGGTGCCGGACCCGGCATTATTTCGCGCACGTCGGGGTTGCTCGGACCTTCCTCGGGGTCTTGGGGAAGGGGAGGGAAATTCATTTCGTTATTGCTCCCCCTTTCCCTTCCCACCCCCCTTCCGCCGAGCATGCGTCCGTTTAAGAACGACCGAAATCAACTGGGGAAAAATTGGCGTAATAAAGGACCCCATAAGTTGGGGGGGGGGGGAGGGCGAAATTACGAGGGAGGAAAATTTCCGGGAGCGTCTCGTCGCAATTAGAGTCGATAACTGCGCCAAAGAGGGTCGTCCTCCCCCGACCCCCCATGGGGGTTCAAAGGAGGGTGCAAGAAAGAAGACCCCCCCACGCCCCCTCCGCCTCGCGAATTAATATTCATTAAGGGGCGGCCTCTCGGTGGAAATATGAAACACGACGCGGTGGTTGTTGTTAGCGCTAATTAAAATGCCTACCCCAGCCCACTCTCTTCTCCCGGGGGCCAGGGCGACCTCCTCTCCGGGAGCCTCGGGGGAGGGGAGCAGTGGCTCCTTCAAACGAGCCCCGATCGGGAGGGGCTGCTCGTCTCCGCGCCGTGGGAATAAATTATTACTCCGTCTAAAACCTACTAGGGACCTCGGGGGGTGGGGTAGGGTGCAGNGGGGGGGCGGCGAACTCGGATGGCCAGGATAGTGGAGGACGCCCCCCTTCGTACCCGCCACCGGAAGAAAATGGAAAGAAAGGAAGATGAATGGAATGGCGCTCGGGGGCCAGACCCTTCCTAGGGGGACGGGAAAGGGGTGGGTGGTGGGTTGGGGGCGGCGAAAGAGGGGAGCGATAAGGGGGGCCCCCCGGATAAGGGGAGAGACACCCGGGGTCACCGTGTCAGGGCGCGAGACCTCAGGCAAGGCCGTCCATTCTCAGGGGTTGCCTCCCCCTCCCCCCTGCCCCCTCCCCAAACTCCCGATCATCCCCGAGCCGTCCAATTTCGCGTCCCCCTCTTACTCTAGGTGGACGATTTGGATCTCTCGTCTCTGACTTTCAGGCCGGGGGAGTGATCCCTTCCCTTATTGCCTCCCTTTAGAGGGCCTCCCTCTTCTAATTCCTTCCGCCGGTCGTTCCTCTCTCGGGTTTTGACTCCTTTCCTCGAGGCTTGCGGGGTTACGGATGGGAGCGAAAGAAAGACTCCACGCGGGGCACTCGCCCCCCGCCCCTCGAGCACCTGTCGGGCCAGGCTCGCGATCGATGCGCGCGACCCCTACACCTCCCCCGTCGTTTAATTGACTAAATCAGCAGAAATGCTCTCCGGCCTAGAGGAGAGGCATCAATTGGTACAGCGAGATGCACCGTTTATGTGCCATTATGCAAGCGGGCCCGTTCATCTCCTCGGCGAGCCCTTGGCGGTTACCCCTGGGAATCCTCCCCCACGGGCTCCGGTTTCGACTATACCCTGTCACGAGGGAGAAGCGCACCCCTTTCTTTTCTCCGAGGTGACGCGAAACGGCGGACATCTTTCCATATCACCCAAAATGCGATGACCCCAGAGGGGGGCGGGGGCAATAGGGCGACACGAGCACGCAGGCCAGACATAACCTCCCTCCCCGTATTCCATCCCGGGAATTCTCGGCCCCCCAAAAAGGGCGAAGGAACGCCCGGAAGTCCGTCGTTGGGGGGGGGGTCGGGGGGGAGGCAGGGTGAGGTTCACGGCGAGCCATTTAACGGTCCTCGGGGAAATTGAGTCATCACGCGGTTCCCCCCCGGAATCTCGGATATTTTCCTCCCGATGGCCCTCCCCTGTGGGGGGTGGGTGGCCGGGGGGAGGAAGGGGGGCTGCCGGGCCCTGCGGACGGGAGATTGAAGCGCCGCTCGCGGCGCGCCGCCGAACGACCCTCGCTTGATGAACAGCCCAAATTGCCGGGGGCGGTTACGAGGGAACTTACGGGGGAGAGAGTCCCTTCCGGGAACTCTTCCTGGGGGATCTCTTGCCCTTTCGTCGAGGAATCGTTTGCCCACCCCCCAGACGAGGGTAAGAGTCGACGTACTTGGCGCGGAACTCTGCCGCGTCGCTCGTTAACGTCCACGTGTCCTCGACTTCCGCCTTTCCTTGTATCCTTATTCTTAATGATAACTCGTTGACTGACTAATGAAAATAACCTCGGTAGAGGTTCGCGCCAAATGTTCGCGATTAATTTTTAACGTAACTCATTGCGACCCCCTCCTTTTCTTCCTCCAAGGGGTGCCCGCGATCGCCCTCGAATTTCGGCTCGATGGAGAAACGAGGACGTCCCAGGAAACGGCCGGCAACACGTGGGAATCGGCTCGTGCTCCTCGCCTTTGCTCCCACGGTTTGAGCATCCATTAGCGCGACTTAAGTAGAAATTAACCCCGGGATCCCTCGAGCCTCCGTCACGAGTGCTCGGCCGGTACGTGCCCACTTTGCGGGGATACTGCGCGCAATACGTCCCCCCCCCCCCTCTCCATTGCGTTTCATCGACCCGGCCGAATTTCCAGTGTTCCGGGCAAGACGACCGAAATGCACGAATAAAATTTAAAAAAAAGGGGGGGGACCCAAAAGGCGTGCATATATTCCCCGCGATGCCGCGCTTCTTACTCCGAGGAAAATAATCAGTTGACTGGAACATATGCATATATATATATATAAAATATTAATCAATCTGACATTTGATCCTGGAATTTTTTTTCTCTCTTTGGGTCAACCAATTCCTTTCCTCGGAGTATAGATGTGCATATAATATATACAATATGTAGAATAATCATGTGTATACCCATACCTATTCATGTACACGTGTACGTGTATATAAATAGGGGTTGGAAAATCAAATCGCCCTTTCCCGGCGCCGAGTCCGGCGAGATCGACCAGCGTCGGGAAATCGATGGCCGGGTTCTCGCGCCCCCTCGAAATTGGACTTTAATGAATTTCCGCCGATCCCGGGGGCGGGGGAGGAAGACCCCTCCCAGAGTATCGCGAAGAGACGGCCGAACTCGGCAAGTGTTAGGCGGTGCCCCGGGAAAAGCGCTCTCAAAGGGAAAAACAGGCGCCTCCCCTGGAGAATATTAAATTTCCCAGCGAGGGGGAGGGCAAGGTGTTCCGTTTAATTGTACGACTTGTTTCCGTTGGAAACGACATTACGCCCCGCCTGGAAGGCCGGGGGTTTTAATGCCGCCCTATAAAGGATCGCGTCCCCTTCCCCCCTCTCGACGTTATTGTCCTCTTGCACCCCGGCGACGATGCACTTCGACTCCTCGGCGAGTTTCCGCCGGGATATCTTCCCTTCGTATGTTTTCTTGGACATTGAATGAGCACTTTTCCGGAAGAGAAATGATCCTCCGGCGGGATCTTCCCTTCTTACGTTTCCTTGGAAATTGGACCAGCTCTTTTCCCCGTGGGAGATGAACGTCAAAATTCAACATAGGGTTTTCTGAATTTGAAAAGGGAAGGGATGATTTTTTTTTTCCCCCCTTTTTTTCTTTCGAAAAGAAAGAGGGATAAAATTGCATCGAAGAGACGTCGGGTATTAAATGGCGGGATATTTAAAAAGAGAAGGGTCGATTTTTACCTCCTTCCGGATCCGAGAGACGTTTCGCAGACCCCGAGGAAGGCGTCGAGGGGCCGCGCCATCCCCGAGCCGAGATCGTGGTTTATTTAACCGCTCAAAGCGGCCGCGTCTGGTTCTACTCCTTTCCGCGCGGGCATTCCGCAGCCTCCCGTTTACCCTCCTCCTCCGGCTTCGAAAAATCCTGCGCGGCGGCGAGGAACCCGCGGAATCCGTCGATCCTGCGGGGAGCAATTAATACCCTCGTTAACTCGGATTTACGGCGATGAAATTCGTACATACATATCATGTACATATGAATACGTACATAAATTAATATATATTATATATATATACGCACACATATCCAATAACTTCCTCGCAGAGATGATTACATCCACCGAATCAGCGGTGATTCCGCATGACTAACGCGTTTCATTTCCCGTTTCAGGCCGCAACGAGCTGATCGCCCGCTACATCAAGCTAAGGACCGGGAAGACGAGAACGCGGAAGCAGGTGTCCTCACACATCCAGGTCCTGGCGAGAAGAAAGCTCCGGGAAATCCAGGCGAAGCTCAAAGTGGTACGTGCGCCGGATTTTCCGTAGGAAACGCCCGGGAGAAACGCCACCCGATGACAATCCATCCTTGCAACACGCGAACACCAATGATCCTCCAGGTCCTAAAACAATCGTCTTGGTCAGAAAGCAATATCGAAAACCTTAAACCAAAGAAAAAAAAAAAAGGAACTTCCCCGACACACGACATTCATAAACAATACAATTAAAAACTGCCGTTTAGTGAAATTACAAAAATTGCACATTTAATTTTTTTTTTTCTTCCTCGGGGTGGCTTAACTGCCACAGATATATCGAATGTGTACCCCCTCGGAAAATCCACGAAGTGGAACGTTACGAGGATGATAATTAGAGGTTGGAAGAAAAAGAAAGAAATTCCGACGTTACTTATTGGCCAAGTCAATAAACACGCGTTTCCGTCGATACCCTCGCCGGAAGCGGGGCGATCGGTGCGTCGCGCTAAATCACGCCTAAAAATGAACCCGGGGCCGTTTAATCAACAGCCGAATTATTAAAGCAATTCGCGAACAATTGCGCGCGCGGGGTTAATAAATCAAAGCCGGCCGCTGGCCGCGCCGTCCGTCTCTCTCGCGCCAGAGGGGTCGCCCGCGGGAGCGAGAGAGAGGCCGCTAGTCCGGCGGTGGGACGCCCCTCGCGGGAAAGCGCCGCCTCGGTGTGTATTTTACCGTTAAACCGCCGCTCGACTGCAGCGGCGAATGCCGCGGACATTATTCACCGTGCACGGTGTCACGTAATTTTCTGGTTTCCGTCCCCACCCTCCCCCGCGAGGCAGATCATCGATCTGTCCAGCAACGCATAAATTCGACCTCCGAATTCTCTCAATTGCTTCACAACATGGCGGCCATCTTGTTCTCTACAAGAGACTTCCTCTAAAGTCGCGGCCTGATAAAAATCCACGAAAATTGACATACACTTCTACACCATTAACCGTGAAAAACGTAAAATCTGAAAGAATCATACATTACGGTGCACTTTGTTACTCGACATCGGTGCAACGTCACGTTATAATTCTCATTAACTTGGACGCCGAATGTGACATCCCATGGACAACGTAATATCAACGGCGATTTATCGTGGCATCGAAACGATGATTGAGTAAATCTACACGGGCATTTTAATCAGCGCGCGCCTTAAATGAAATCCCCAGGAGTTCCCGATTATTTTTCAGACCCACCATTACCGTTATCCCATTTTCCTCGACTATTTACACGTCATTTATCCCAGGCCTCTGATCGGTTTCCGGGAATCGGCGATGTGCACCCGTACACACGCATAGGTTATGTAGAGATGTATCGATGGCCTCTACGAGTCCCGTTACCCGCCTCTCCCGATCGGAGATCGCGACAGAGAGGGAGGGGAGGGACAGAGAGAGAAAGTCCTCGCAGGCCGGGATTTTAATCCGCGCTAATTGACCGCCGGTTTATAAGCGGGGGGGAGGGAAAAAAGAGAGGAGATCGAAAAAGTTGGAGGGCCATCCGGACTGTGAATGAACACGTCGAGGTACGCCCCCGCGAGGCCGACATTCCGCTGGAGCGTTTCCCCTGGAGCCGGCGAAGGGGGCACGCGATTGGCCGGCCGGCCGGCCGCGGGGCCAATCAGCGCGAGCGGCGGGAGGGGGCCGAAGTAGCTCTCTCTCTCTCAATTATTCGGATTGATTTTGCACGGCTCCCCCAATCCGCCGTGCACGCCCCCTTTCCTTTTCCTTTTCGCAAGTTCCACTTTGAAAAGTAATCGGGGCTCGAGACTTGCCCTTCCGAAAAATCCCGGCTCTGAATTTCATTTCAAGGCTCCCTGGATCGTCCATATATTTCTTATCTCTTGATCCTGATTTCAATTTCAGGATCTCCTATAAACCCGATTATTATTTACCTACATTTAATCGACTTAAAAGAGAGAAAATAAATAATCACCCCGTACCCTGTATAGTAGCCGCTCGGACGCGCCGGACAAAGGGCGGAGGGTCGAGGGGGACGTTTCGAAATTTCCACCCCCGCACGTGGGGGATTATTTTACAAACGTTCGCGCCATTTAAACCCGGCCCGGGATATTGGCCTTTGGCACCACGGCGGCGCTGCGGTGGCCCTCTGTAATTCTTCTCTTTTTTTTTTTATTCATTCGATTTCCGGCCCAAGCGCTCCAATCGAATCGAGCCGCGTAAGCGGTTTCCGCCACCCCTTCCGCGCGACTCTTCCTCTTTTTTTCTTTCCCCCCCTTTCCCTCTCTCTCTCAGTTTTTCGTTTTTCCCGTCGCCAGCGAGCGGGTCGATATGGCCAATCCTATTTGCAAAAACGGCGGGTCCCGCAAATCCTCCGGGTTTTACTTCTATCCCCCATTTTTGTTTTCCCCTGGTTCTTTCTTTCTCCCTTTGTCCGTCCCTTTTCCCTTTTTTATCCCCGCTCCCTAGTTACCCGCGTTTGACGCGAACGACAAAAGGGCACGTCGAGGTCCGAGCGGCGAAAAAGGGGGAAAAGGGGGGAGCAAAAGAAAAAACGGGGAAAAAAAAAAGAAGGAAAAAGCAAGGCGTACATCCGAGCAATTGCTCGCCCCGGCTCTCTCTCTCTCTCTCTCCCAATAAAATTAACGCGGCGGATCCGCGATAAACGCCGGGAATTCGGGGCTTTTCTATTTTTCCTTGTTTTCTCCCCCCCTTCCGCCGCCTTTTTTTCCATTTCACCGCGATCCGGGCGCGCATGCGCGGTCAACTAGTCGGCCGTTTCCACATTTCCTCCCATTTTCCTCCACTTTTCCAGCAGCCCCTCCTCACTTATTTTATCTCACTCTCAAGGCAAATGAAAATTGAGCGCATCCGGCCGAGGGCGTGCGTTTTTTCTTTTTCTTTTCCGTTTCGCCCGCGCGTCCCGTTTAACCGTCCCTGCGGAATTCCGGGAGCGGAATTCCGCGGTGCTAGCCGAGGTCCACGCCGGAATATCCCGTAACTCGCGGGCCTTCCGCGCCGGTTTCGCCGCCCACTTCAGGCCGAGGCGAGTTGCTTTACGAGCGAGCGATTATCGACGCGAGGTTCGCGGGTGGCCGGGATGCGTTTTCATACACTCGGGGCATCGTCTCGACCGAGAAGAAGGCCTCCCCTCTGAGATACAAAACTTTCCATGCACAGATGCGGAAAACGACGGCCCCGTAATTTTTTTTTTATACCATAGAAGGAACCCTCCAAAGATCCACCGACCCCCATGTTAAGTTAGTTAAATTAAATGAAGGAGGAGACCTCTTTGACGGCAGTTTCGCGTGGCCTTAATTCCCCAGGCTTCGAGTTATGGAATCACCTCCGGAGGGGCGCTTGGGGAGAGATAAAGTGCGCAAAAAAAAAGTAAAATAAAATAAAATAAAATAAAATAGGGATACACCTCGTCGCGAAATTCCATAGCTCGAGGTCGAGGACCAGGTCGAGGTGGCGAGGGCGGCGCACTTGGTAATCGGTTTGGTGAATTTGCTAGGATCATGCCGCCAAGGAGAAGGCGCTGCAGACTATGTCGAGCATGTCGAGTGCCCAGATAGTGTCTGCCGGAAGTGCGATACACAACAAGATGCCCCCTGCTCTCGTGGGGCCCCTAGCCCTTCACGCTTCCAACCCCGTCTCCTATCCCGGAGCGGTAAGTCCCAAAGTCGAGGACGACCCTGAGTTGCCGAGTCGTGGACGAGGAATGGGGCCGAGGTCAAAGGGGAACTGGGATTTCGAAGGCGAGGTGACACCTGAGACCTGACGATGTCCACTTTAAACAATTATATAAAATAAATATAGGATTGAAAAGGAACAACAGGACTCGCGTGTTTCGTCGATCTGGGGGATTTAGCTCTACAGTAATTTCCGAAGCGCCGCCAACGATCGATTTCGGCTTCCACCCTGGTACCAGTCCCTAACCGCTTCGCGCCGCCCCCTGACGTCCTCCACCAGGTGGAGGATTATTGACAATTGTTCCTCTTTTTTTTATTCCCATTTTTTTTTTTTTGTAACGTCGAGGAGGAAATTCTTCATTGTTTTCGCTTTTCCTCCTCGATCGGTGGAATTAGACTTGGAGTTTTCCACGAGCCGGCAACGGGGAGGCGCGGCTTTTTCTTGTCAAGGGTCATGCTGCAGTTACACGATTAACAAATGCGCTTTGTTGCGTAAACCACTAACACCAGACTCGGAGAGTCGATTCACTAGTGACCCCGCTACTGCTAAGCCCCTGGGGGCCCTTGTTGTGTATTGTTGGATTTGTCCGTCACTTTGTACACCAGTGAGAGTACTCGTCGATGTGGCTTACACCTTCCACCCTGCCTCTCCTGTCCCTTTCGTTTTGACGTTCTCCACCCTTACCTCCCCGACCTGCGGTACGTCCCGAAGGTCTAAATCATCTTCAACGCGAAGATAAAAAAAAGTCGCCTTGTAACAATCGCTCCATTTGTTCCCCTCTTACAAGATTCCATAATTGCGACATTACGTTGCAAGTTCATACGTTGATTATTATTTTCAAACGTTTCACCGGGCGACAAAAAAATGCCGATTAATTCCCACCTGCTCGACAGGACCTTCGTCCACCCTCCAAAACGCTTCCTGGTCCCCCAGCCCGTGTTCGTTGATTTTTTTCCAACCGTGGATCGCCCCTGCGAGCCGCCAGGTACGAGACTCAAGGTGCGCGTCCGATTTCCGCACCTCTTGCATTTTTTTTCCTTTTTTTTCCGCCGCCATTAACTGCAAGAGGATCGTTTCGGTTAAGCCAGGCTACTTAGCATACCAATCATACATTCGGTACGTAATACCTGATCAAAGAATCAGGTCTCGAGGCCTGAAAAAAGCGCGGATTCTATCTAGACCCTGTAATAAAGTTAACGAACCAGCCACGCATCCGCTGCGGATTGGCCGCTAGACTCGGGCCCCGGGATTACAGGGGTAGGATTTCACGGATAGATTCGCCAATTGAAGAGCACCGCCGAGTACGCCTTGAAAGTAACCACCGAGTGGTTCATTATCGTCCCCCCTGGTCTGAACCGTATCGATCCCGGCCTCCAATTACGAGGGAAACCGGCGATAAAGATGCAGATTTCCGGGGATTTATCGGAAATCGTTTTCGCCGATTTCCTTCTTTGACAACCCTTTGACTTCGTATCATGTACAGCAACGCAATTCGATAACGGATAACGATCGGCCATAACATTCTGACTTTTCGGTGGTCCCCATGGATTTTCCGGTGCTATGTACAGCTGATTTAGGGCATTAAGATCCATGATTTCTTGAGCGAGACACCTGTGTTGATCACTTTGACGTCGTACCTGGCGGCCCGAGAGGCCTCACTAGTGGCTAAAAAAATTCATACAGAGAGGGAAGCTGGATCAGAATCTCAACGAAATGACGAACCTTTCTCCCCGCAGCAATTCTGGCAGCCGGGCCTGCAGCCGGGAACCTCGCAGGATGTCAAGCCGTTCCCGCAACCGGCTTACACCGGGAAACCGGCCACCGCGGTGTCCAGCGGAGACATGGTCCAGGCGCAGCCTCCGCCACCCTGGGAGGGAAGAGCCATCGCGACGCACAAACTCAGGCTCGTCGAGTTCTCGGCCTATATGGATCAACAGAGAGACCAGGACATCGTGAGTATCGAGAGTTTGTAATCTCGTGGAGGGTGATAAGAAAATTATTCCATCAAAATAAGTGCATCGTTTGCTTATAACAATATTTACCTCGAGCAGTGAAAGTTAATAGTACCGATCGCGTTTCATAATCTAGGTGATTTTTTTTTTTTTCATCAGTCGATGGAATAGGGTAGAACTTTCAATATTAAATGGGCACGGTTTCGATCCGCCCCCCGACAAAACTGACCCGCTCAATCAAGGTGGAGGCACCTCCAGAGGTGCATAATGCGCCCCTAAGGGACGATCGAGCCCGCCTCTTCGATTAGGAAAACGATAAGCCTCTATTCCGGTCTCGCGAATGAAGCCCCGTTAAGGTAAATCTACACAGCGACGTTCACCTGGCAAATTGGCCAGTGCTCACCTGAGAACGCGCAATATCCCCTGATGGGATATAATGCGACCTCACGGGAGGAAACTCGTCTTTCAGGGTGAATTTCATGGCCCAACCGGAAGACTACCCCCTAAAAAATCACTCGAGGCAATATCCTTCTCCAAAAACATAATTGAATAAAAAGTGAGGCTGCGCATTAAAGAAAAGGGAAGTAAGATAAAAAATGTCCAATGATTTATGCTTTTATACATCGGCGTTATCGAACACCTCCCACCGTGTCACGTGGTACAACAATGCTCCTGATAGTCTCCACCTGATTTTTGAGTTGTTCCATCATTAAAACGCTTGATTCCTCGAGCGAACGATAAAAGTGAGGAATACTCGGCCTGATTATCTCGTATTATCTGTTGCAGTACCACAAACACCTGTTCGTCCACATAGGTGGGTCCGCGACGTACGCAGACCCTCTCCTGGAGGCTGTGGACGTGAGGCAGATCTACGACAAGTTTCCGGAGAAAAAGGGCGGCCTGAAGGAGCTTTACGACAAGGGCCCTCAGGCCGCCTTCTTCCTGGTCAAGTTCTGGGCGGATCTCAACACTAACATCCAGGACGAGGCCAGGGCCTTCTACGGCGTGACCAGCCAGTAAGACGTGGTCCAGACTTCATTCCTAATCACCGGCTACTAGATCCCTAATTCACCCTCGCCTCTTTCCCCAGGTACGAGAGCAACGAGAACATGACGATAACGTGTTCGACGAAGGTGTGCTCGTTCGGCAAGCAGGTGGTGGAGAAGGTGGAAACGGAGTACGCCAGGTTCGAGAACGGCAGGTTCGTCTACCGCATCAGCCGCTCGCCGATGTGCGAGTACATGATCAACTTCATTCACAAGCTGAAGCACCTGCCCGAGAAGTACATGATGAACAGCGTCCTAGAGAACTTCACCATCCTCCAGGTGCGTCGCCTGGCCTTAACCATCATCGCCTTAATGGCGCTCAAAGTCAGCCTTGGTCTTGGTCTTGGTCTTTTAGGGACCACTCAGGGTCTTCCTCATCTCAGGACAGGAAGATCAAGGTCTTTTGCGCTTCTCGCAAGACCAAGGTTGCACGATTAAGGCCGATTTCGTTGATTTTTCTATTTTCTTTTCGGAGTTTCCAGAGAAGTGGCGCTCTTGTCGCCCACCTGAGGTCGTTTCTCTCTTCCTGCTTGCAGGTTGTCACGAACAGGGACACGCAGGAGACGTTACTGTGTACGGCATACGTGTTCGAGGTGTCGACGTCCGAACACGGAGCCCAGCACCACATATACAGACTCGTCAAGGACTAGCCTGTCTAAGTCTCCTGCTCGCCGTGCAGCCATCCACCCCCATCAGTGCCTACCACCACACGACTCATCCATATTCTACGCGTATATACACACATACATACATACATCGTGCATGAGACAGAGACATACAGGAGCATAGGAGCGTGCGCGGGTCCTCGCGCTGGCAGGATACATGCGCAGGTGCATGCGCAGGTGGAGTTGCGCGCGAGGACGCGCAACGCCGCGCACGCGGAGACCGGGCGAGCGCAAAGTCGGGCTCGATTAGCTTTTAATTCACTTTTAATCCACTTTTAATCCACCGACGCGGTTTTTAATTGATCCGTCCTCTCGCGTCCGCGTTAAGGTGGCATAAAAGTGGCACCCGAGAAGTCAGTTCGTTAAACTATCCTCCGAGCTGGGCATATCGGATCTCTTAAGGCCTCACTAAGTGAACATAGAGAGTATAAGGAAGGTCCTTACGCCCATGAAATTACAATTTTTTATGAATATCTGTAGACAAATTTTTTTTTTCTTCAAATTTGAGGCCTCACGGGTGTCAGGACATTTCTTACAGCCTCCATATTTGAGTAGGAAAATTTTATACGATTCGACACACCTAATTCAGAGGAAAGTTTCATGAACGAGTCCTCTTTCCCGCCACTTTCGTATCGCCTTAAAGGGTTTTCGAAATCGGGACTGCTGTCCCGCGCGTCTTCCTGCCTGGAAGAGTTAGTGGAATTCATGTTTCGCTGTTTCTTTTTCTTTTTTCTTTTTTTCTAATTTTATACACGCGTTCGAATGATCCTAATTCGACGAGCACGTCCAGTGGCGATCTGGGAACTCGCCGGGATTTTAGGTATATTTTATATTCGATACGTTTCGCGGCAATAAATTCGTGGCAATCGTTGACACAGTCCGCGGGGGGTCTCCGGCCTGTCGGGCGCTTCGCTTTGAGACGGCACTTTTCCCCTGGCAAAGGAGCATGGATCGGCTGTTTCCCTGCGTCGTTACCCCGACTTTGTCGAGATTTTGTGACGCCCAGGGTCGGGATAAGGGAATTCTCCCTCGGGATAAAGCGGCTCTCCTCCGTTTCCGCGATCCGCGTGCGCGTTGACATGGACACACCTCGGTACCAGTCGAGCCGAGCTCGATTAGGATCCGAAACTTGGACCGAAAAGATCCCCCTAATATGAAAAAGAGCCTAACAAGATGTTCAAAGAACTCCAAAAAGATTCTACGGAAAAAAAAGAAAAAGAAGAATATATACAAAATGAGAAACCGCAAACCTCGGCTCGGCGCGGTACCGGACATTATTAACTTAGTATTATAGTTTTATTATTAAACTAGCCGGTAGGTCATACGAGACAGCTACACCCACACCCACGACACACAGATATACATATATTACGGATAAGAGTATATGTTAAATATTAATGCAATGATTACGATTTACATTGTTATAAATGATCGTGTATAAAGCTATCTAAGTGATCTTAAGTTTTAACCGCGACGAGGGCTATAAGCGAGAGGGAGGGAGGGGCCGCGTGCCGTAAATTAGCAGGTGACGATCCCCCTGGTTTGTCATTATTTTTCTATTATCAAGGGCAAGGAAGGGTTGGGGGAAAGGGAGGAAAAGTAAATAAGAAGAGGCAAAGCCGAGCGCTTCGTCGCGGGGTCGGCGTCGCCATCTTGGATATTCTCCCCTCCCCTGTAAAGGGCCTTTTTACCGCCGTTATCTTTTTATTAATCAACTTCGACCTCTCCCAGGACGCGATCCATTTAATCGCGGATCGATCGGTCGACCGCGGCCCATTTTGCGACACTTTTACACGTTACGACGCCCTCCTTCCTATATATTTCTTCTTCTTTTTTTCCTGTTCTCAAGGCGACGTAGGGAGTAGCAAAGGGACGCGTTTGTACTTCTTGTAACCACCCTTTACTTTGTACTCCGTTTGTAAGACTTCCACCTCTTTTTCTCACTTTCTCCCATTTCTTTTCTTTTTTTCTTCTTTTTTTCCCCTATAGTTCTTACGCGAATGACTTCCCTACTTAGCCGTATGCTGCGTTTGCTTTTTATATCCTTATCCGGCGTTCTCTAAACTCCTGGACGACGTCGGCTTCCTCCGGCCTTTTCTTTCTCCATTTTCTTTTATATCTATATCTATACATATATGTATACATACAAGTACGCTAAGGAGAACTCGGAAGAGATTTTTTACGAGAGCTTCGGCGCCGCGTCTCGAGGTTCCCCGATTTCACCCACGATTTTCCTTAGATATTATTTTTTTCACCTCGAGCCGATCGCCACGTAGAAAATTCCGATAACGTCGTTTTTCCCTTCGTTTCGAGATAAAGGATGCCCCAAAAAGTGGGGCGCTATTTTTGCGACTGGCTTAAGAAATGAAAGAAATACTCGAGAGAAATTATTCGCGGACCTTCCCCAACACGTGGCGGCGGCTCTTCCTCGCGAGAATCCAAGTGTCGTGGTTTGCGATCTTCATTTCTTTCTTTCTTTCTTTTTTTTTTTCTCATCATGGAAAGAAAAATATATATACAAATATAAATATATATACAATACATATACACACGCGAACGCGGCGGCGCAACACAGCGAAGGAGAAGTATCTTTTCGAAGTGCTCCTTGTTTCCTCTATACGCGTTATTTTCGTTTGTTTTTTTTTCCCCTCACTTTTTCTTCATCATTTGTTTTTATTTCTCTCTCGTTCTCTTTTTTTTTTTACTCCGTTTCGCTGAACTTGCCTATCCGAGAGCAGTAGAACGTGACTAACACGACCGAAGGAACTACACACCTACGTCTAAGGCTACGTTAATATTATTAATTTTACCGATAATCGTTACTTTTAATTAACGTTTACGAAACAAGTGGCAATGTATTTTGATCTCTCTCTTTTAGTCAGAAATATGTCCTCAGCTTTTCACGCGTTTTATTTGTCTATCTCTTTAGATTTTCTATCTTCTACGTTCTCGTGCCTGTCTCCTCTCTCTTAAACGATTCGTTAATTCAGGCCGAGAGGGACGAATTCAGCTCAGAGAGAGAGAGAGAGAGAGTGAGAGAGGGAAGGAGAAGTCGATCGAGTGCGAGCGAGACATTGGTGCGATCGACGGACGAATTTCCATTCGCAAATTGGCAGCTTCTGTACTTCCTAGTTATTGATTGTTATCGGACAAGTCCGCATTTAGGGTCTACTTTATATGTACGATTATCCTTTTTCTTTGTTTTAAGGCGATGCGAAAGTGGCGTTGGAGGTCTCCTTTATTTAATTTACCATTCTCCAAACTGGATGCACCGAATAGTTTCCAACTTTACAACGTGAATATGGCGACTAGAAGGAAGGTCCTGGCGCGCGTGAAATTTCAATTCTTTAAAAATTTGTTTATGAATGTTACTACAATTTTTTGTATAAAAAATGAAATTTCGTGAGTGTCGGGACCTACCTTAGGGCCTCCATGTTCGCGTTGTAGAGTTTGAAACGATTCGGTACATTTAATTCGGAGTAAAGTATCATAAAGAGAGATCCTTCGGATACCACTTTGACACCCCCTTAACGTCCAAACGTCGCACGGCGTAATGCAAGAGCATTAGCCCTAGGAGACACGTCGGGGAGGGTCTGCAAGAACAATTGGGAATTATTGTCCATCGATCAGCGATCGATTTCCGATCGACCTGTCCATGCCAATAATTCCCCGCGACCTGGCCCAATTCTTAGGGAAACTTTCAAGCCCTCCATCGCACCCTCCGCTAGGAGCTTGCGAGCCTGAAAATAGTTAAACATTTAAAAACGACAAAAAAAAAGAAGACGAAGAACAATCCACCTAGCATGATTGCGATAAGGAGAGAATTCGCGATAAGGTCTAATTGTATCTCCAATTAATATCGATAAGCGAAGAGAGCAGAAACGTCAGCGACTCTTAAGACCGATTGCACCAGCCAAATTTCTAAACAATAATTAGTGCAATTCCTGTCGTACCGACAAACAGATTAAGCTCGAAGATTCAAATCCATTAAGTAATCCTTGATTATGAATTTTAATACGAAAGTCGGTGCAATCGGTCCTAAGTACCGAAAAAGAGAGGATATGTAACAGCGAATCGCCGGGCTCGATATCAAACCGTATTTTTTCGTCCTAGAAGAGCTTTTAGTTGAAGTGCAAGAAGTGCAATGAACAATTGTATCGCAAATGAGTATATTAACATCCTGAGCGAAGGCTTGAATAAATTGGTAAGACCAGCGAGCGGTTCTCGCCTCGTCTGGCGTTTCTGCTCGTCGAAAGGCTCTCCGATAAGCTGCTTTCGAGGATCGCAACGCATAGTTTCCGGACGATAGTGAACGATTCGACATTACGAGGGGAAAAGTAAGCGGAAAGAGCGTTTGATATATCTCGTGGTGAGGTCGCTTAAACGTATACCGGAAGAGTGGAAACCGATAAAAAGGAAAGGAAAGAAAAACATGCCGAATCCCCCTGGAGTGTATCTGGACATTGGAAAAGAAGCACCGACACTAATATTATTAACATTAACGAGTAATGATTTTAAACTAAGCGAATTACATTTATAAGGAAAGATTATGAAAATATATATTTATCTATGTCTTCTGTGAAGATAGAAAAATAGTACTCTCTCGCGCTATATATTGATGACACTGACGAAAACGTTGACACACACAGAGGAAACGATACTCTAAAACGGCAGATGTAGTTTAAGGTCCAAAAAAGGGAAGCAGCTCGCGTTGTCACACACACACGACACACAAATATACACACACGGGTATAAAGCCTCCAGCACACACGAACACACTTCAGATTTGTTAAATATCTTTGTACATATTTACATAAAGACCATCAAAAAATGTTCAAGTTCCAGCGGATATTTTTCATTGTTGCAACACAGGCGCCGCGTGTGTGCGAAAAGAGCGTGTTAGATAAAAACAAAGGGAATGCAATTTCGAGTTTGTCTTTTGATATAGCGTCGAAGGCCCTTTATGGTTTCGCACAGGCCGATCCCTGGGAGACCCTTCGTTGGCCTGTCGAAGCCATTGACTTGTACGTTATAGATGTTTCCTTTTTTCCCCCTGCGTGACGGAACTACAGATCTTGACATTTGCTTGACCGAACAGCGAGAATGGTTTACTTAAGGTAAAATCAAATTTGCATTTGTCCATATCCTGGAACTGCCATATCAAAGAATTTGAGCTTGATCATAAAGAGACGCGTGAGGGAAACGAATGTCAAAGCAAACGAGGAAACGAGACAACCTACCTGTATATTAACATTATCATGAACGAAACGAAACGAGGATCAAAGTAGCTGATTTAAACGAGTAAAGGAAAATAAATGAAAAATGATATATCATTAAATTAGAGGTTTAAAAATATAATAGAACTCAGTATATGTACAGTATTTGAAAAACATGTTTATAATTTGTATGGAAAATAAAAAAAATTCATATAAAACTAGGCCGTGTCTTCAATCCTTAGCGCGTATTGTCAAGAGTGTCACGTGCGTAGAAATTGTTAAGTTACACAGCTGACTTATCCGATAAGTGGCAAATGTCAGAATCGAACGATTAGAATGGATAATCGCTGAGATCGGTTTAATTGATATCAACTGAAAACTTTTAATAACTCGCAAATATATTAACGAGATTGTCGTTCATATAAAAATTGTGTGAAAGCAGAATCGCGGAGTTCTGCGTTAAACCGCATTTGTAGAATATAACCTCAAAATATGAACAGAAGACGTCATCAGTTGTCACCGTGACAACTACGCGGTGACACCAATAAGCCCTTTTCAGTGACAGAAACCTTTAAAGGCAAGAAATAAATATTTGTCTGGAAAGTAGAGTTTTTTAAAGCGAATCAATTTAAATGCTTTCCTAATTTTGGTCTTCCATTTACAGAAAATGTAAGTGATTTACGAGTACGAGAGGTTAGGTTGTACCGCTAAGTAGGTCTTCTACGACCATCACGATGAAGCAGCAGCAAAGTAAGGATTTTCTCATAATCTGGTATTCGTTGAAAATTTTATACAAAGATGTATTTAATTTATATTTAATATGTAATAAATTAAATATTTTTTACCCGACACTATAAGGTAATGCGATTGAATGAATAATTTATTTCATTCTAGGAAACTCCCAGGTACTGAAGTACGTCAGTCTGGTTACGCTTACTCTTCAAAATGCTCTAGTCGGTCTTAGTATGCGATATGCTCGTACTAGATCTGGAGACATGTTCCTTTCATCCACAGGTAATTTATAAAATATTGTGTCAAAGAACAACAACACGATAAAACTATGATTAGAGCACTTATAAATCACTTTTTTTCCAGCTGTTGTGATGGCAGAGATCGTTAAACTCATGACTTGTTTGATACTTGTGTTCATGGAACACGGAACGTGGAATCAATTCTTGCACTCACTCAAAATGACAATTTTGAAGCAACCTTTTGATACTTTGAAAGTATGCGTACCATCCATGGTTTACATTGTACAAAACAATTTGTTATATGTATCTGCATCGAACCTGGATGCAGCGACACATCAGGTATTCCAATTTTTTGTTATTAATAAATTGATAGAAACTTACTATCGATGAATAATAATTCACGAATGTCTTATTTCAGGTCACTTATCAATTAAAAATTCTAACAACAGCATTTTTTGCTGTAGTTATTTTAAGACAAACATTGAGAAACATACAGTGGGGTGCATTGGTGCTATTACTGGGAGGTGTCATATTGGTGCAATTGGCACAAACTGGACCGCATGCTGTACCTTCAGGCATTGAGCAGAATCAGCTGTTTGGTTTCTCCGCAGCACTAAGTGCATGTTTTCTCTCAGGCTTTGCTGGAGTATATTTTGAGAAAATACTCAAAGGATCGGACATTTCACTTTGGATGCGTAACGTTCAACTGAGTTTCCTTTCTTTACCGTTTGGATTGCTAACTTGCTTCCTGAATGACGGAGATATTATCAGGAAGCAAGGTTTCTTCTTTGGTTACGACTTATTTATTTGCTACTTGGTGGTGCTTCAAGCCGGTGGAGGACTCGTAGTTGCGATGGTCGTTAAGCATGCAGACAATATTCTTAAAGGCTTTGCAACTTCTCTTGCTATAGTCATCTCGTGCATTGCTTCAATTTATTTGTTTAACTTTAAGCTGACATTCCAATTTGCTTTTGGTGCACTTCTGGTGATCTGTTCAATCTTTATGTACAGTCATCAACCGAAAATTCACCATCAAGATAAACATACGCTCTTAGAAAAGATTTAAGGAACTATGAACTTAGATATTAACCGTCTTTTTCCTAAATGTGTTAAGTTGATACTGAATTTGTATTAAAATGATTTTTACACTGCGTATTTAAAAAAATACTCTACCGACTTAAGAATGCATTCGTAAGGTGCAAATAATAGGAAAGTTACTTCTATGTAGTTTAATCGTTTTAATGAGACAGTAGCTCTATGGAGAAATAGTTCCTCGCTCATTCACCGCCGAGCAATGATTTTGCAAGCTTTGAAACATCAAGTTACGCAACCTCAGTTAATAAGTTACAGTCCACTGCCTTTTTCTCACACCGTGCTTTTTTTGCTTTAATTAAGGGACAATGAAATTCCTAATGTTATCGGTATTAGTAAGCGAAGTTACAGTTATGATTGAACCTAGGCCATATCGAGACCACCGCTTATGAAGTCGTTCATAAGTGCCAAAGTATTTTCTTAAAAACTAGCTTTATACATATTTTTATATCGCAATATCGCGAAAAAACTTATTGTACATAATTTAGATACATATGTTTAAATATTCCGAGACTTTGACCAGTTCCGAAGTAATGGGCTAAGTACTTAAATATATTACATTTGAATAAATTCAAGTAAATACCTAATATACAGCTGCACGTTGCCCCTTAATTACTCTCTTGATTTCTTATTTAATCTTCCCGCGAGTGAGTTTCCATCTTAAAAAACACGAGTCACTTTTATCCAAAGAAGTACGGTAAAAACGTGACAAAGGAAAACTCCCTTTTAACTTTGGGGAATTTCCTTTGTCTGGTTTAACCATGCTCTCACAAAGCACATGCTCACGTTCAATCGCTGCGTAGGGTCTATCGGTAAGGGCCAATCAGAAGCGTTGCCTCCACCAGGGAACGAATGAAGACCGCAAGGTAAATCTTTATCTTTCCAAAATCCGTGCGGACTGAAAGTCGGCCATCTTGATTGGTCCTGACGCGCGACTCCAAAAGTAATTCCGCACCGGCTAATTTCACCTTCCCATTTTATCCAGCGAGAGGCCAAGGCAGTCGGATTAATGTGCCTAGTGAATGAGTGCGACAAAGACGATCTTATGGAATATAACTATAAAGGTCTCTGGACCCCCCGCCCTTCTTGCCCCCCTCTTTGCCCTGTCTAGACAACCTTTTACGTAAGCCGATCTTGGCGCGTACTCGAAGCGAGGGTCGTTCTTCGCCAAAAGACGTGCACTTCAAACGATATCCGATAAAGGCACAATCGATATTGTGAAACTTCGATAGTGAAGTATGGCCAAAAACGGAGTTTCGCCTCTGCTCAAAGACAAAACAGAAAATACCGCCGCGTAGAGTGATATTATGATTGAGATTAAAGTATGTCACTACCTATTTTTATTTACACTTCTGGAATCGGCCCTGCAAATCCGACCGTCCGTGCACGGACATAACAATGGTGAGAATCCAATTTTTGCGCCTGTGTTTTGGTATCGGACCATTTGACAATATTGACCACCGAACGCGGGAGGTAACTCGGCTAACCTCGGAGATCATTATTTTCGCCTAAACTTGTCTTAGTACATCTGTAGCTTCGTTTCGAATTACTTAACCACCTCTGCTAATGTTTCTCCATTTATCATTCAGGGACGTTACTACTTGCATGACAAATGTCTTTCAAACATTGTTTTTCTTCTCGAGAAGGTCACCAGTTTCATGGGCTTGCTTGTTCGGTGCTACTATGATGACAGAAAAATTATTCGATCGTTGCTACTTTCCGTGGCATGTAGAATGTCGATACCACTCAGTTAATACTAATAATTTGTCGTCGCCAATTTACAGGTTTTTGCTAGTCGGATGATATATATTTTTTTTTTGGTAGGTCAAGCATAATAAGCTTTTCCTGTATTCACGTAAATACCATTATATCGGAATCATTTAAAGTATGGTATAGATTATATATGTATCGTGTTATTCACGTAACATAAATTTATTTGAGCCATTTTTTTTCATTAATGAACTTTTATTTTTTAGTTCAACTCGTCGATGCTCTCGTGGTGATAAACATTGTTATTTCAACACCGTTCTATTGATGTTCTGATCTTTAACCTGCTGTTCCGTTAGCGTACCATTTTTCTCTTAACCAATCGGAGAGATTCTATTCATGTAATAAAAGCATTTTATCACGGAACAAATGATAAATGCATTCTGATTCTGAAATATTCAATACGTACTTGACTTCAGTATGCAATAAATTGATAATGTTTCAGTTTTTGTGCAAGATGACAATGATGTTCAATATCTGTTGGATAATATACCTATTTCTATGCACAAGGTCAGTATCATTTAGAAATGCAAATACGGAACAATTTTTAAAAATGACTGAACGTTAAGTCGATTTAACTGATAGTATAAATAATATTTATTTTGGCTTTGTAGGATTTCACTAGTCCGGTGCACGGGGCTGGGTAAGCATAATACTCATAGCCATAACGGTGAGTGGAAATAGGAAAGGTATCGGGTATAATTCTTATTATATCGTATTAACATTGTTAAGTTAGAGAACAAATAATTGATGGTTCCGAAGAAAAAAAGTATTTAAAAAAGTATAACCCTTAGTAAAGGGTACAGGGAAAGTAATCTTTTTATTGCTTTCAATCAGTTTAAATCGATATCGAGAGAAGGGATATTCAAAATATTTTAATTTGTGACAGAATTAACTAATTTTGTAATGTATAATTCTTTTATACACCGCAACAATTATTTTCTTTATAGTCTTATTCGCTTTAGCTTTACTAACAAGAAAATTTGCCAATCTCCATCACTTTGTTTCACGAGTAACTCTGCCTCATGCCTTTCCTATTTTCAATCTGTAGCATTAATCATTCTCAATACAAAATGTTTCTGTAAGTTTTGAATGATGTAAATTTATGTTGAAGGGATTCTGTATCCAACAATCATGTGCAAGATTCCATCTCTTACATTCAATTCGAACCAAGTATTTTGGATTTTAAAGAAAGGTAAACTGAAATTTGTTATTGCCCTTTACTTCTCGCTATGTTTCTTGTGTGTATTTTTACCAACTTTATGCATGACAAATTGTAATGTTTGGACATTATACATTGTATTTTAGACAACTTGGTGTACCCCATCAAGAAACTGTGACACTCTACAATAGAGATGATAATAAAACGATACATCTTTCATCCATATCCGGGAACACACAGCATTTTCATTCATCGTTCTTTCAAGACAAAGTAAGTTTCCTCTTGTTTATTTTGGCTTTATGCAAATGTTTATGTAACATGAAACAGAAACCAAAAAGTACCATTTTAACATAGGTGATTCCACCGCTTGGAAACACAACATTCAACGTTGTCTTCCTTGGTCGAGAAGAGGGTGACATAGAAAGTTATCTTTTCATTCACACATCAGATGGAACACTCAAATATCAGGTATTAAAAAATAATATATTGCAAATAAATATTTTTCAAAATAAAGAAATATTTTTAACTAACACGTTTCATTCTTTCAGGTCAGAGGTGTAAGTGTGAGTAGTCCCTACAGATTAAGACCTGTAGTCGGTGTAAAGTTGCCGTTGAATGCATCGTTCACTCCTCTCATTTATATGCATAATCCACACCCTGAACCTATGCAGGTACATAATTATAAATGGAGTATTACATATACACTATTAATTCATAATCTAATTGTGCGCGTATAATCATTTGTAAAGGTTATAGAGGTGTATAGTAGCGGAGGAGAGTTTCAGTTAGAATTACCATCGGGACAAGCAGAGGGACCACGTGAATTGTGGGAAATTCCACCATACCAAACGAAACCAGTCATTAGATTACATTTTAATGCCTGCACCGAAAAGAACCATACCGCATACATTAGGTAAGATAATGCTTTTATTTATATTTTAATTCAGGTTATTATATTATTACATATTTCGTAATTTCACTTTACAGATTTAAAGTAAATAACAGTGCGGAGGTGTTGATTGTGGCAGTTGAAATCGAAGTCAGTAGCGGAGCTGGACTTCACTGGGGTGGAAGTTCTGGGGTGATCAATTTGGGTATGGGTGGTTCTTTACAACCTCCCATTCACTATCCGATAGCTTTGAAAAATTCGGCCAAGAAACCCGTCAAAGTACTGGTATGTCAGTCTTGAATTCGATGTTATTTTACATCTTATTTATATTTCTTGCTGACATGATTACTTAAGATCATGATCCTTTTAGAATATCATCAGCACCCCAGTTTCTAAAGCATTACAAATTAACTTCGAGCCTGTTGTAATACCGGGGGATACAGATGTACCGATAGCAGTTGGAACATTGATTTACGACTGTGAGTCATACTCTACTAATAGTTTATAGTTTATGCTTGTCTCGTTGAGATTTACTGCTTCCACAATAAAACGTGTTTAATGATACCTGTTATCCAACAGGGAAAACTGGACTAGATTTGCAACACTTTAAAGGGAAATTAATGATCAAAGGAGTCGGCCCAGGTGGGTCTAGTCAAAAGTTAGCGATACCATGGGTAGCGGAGGTGCTGCAAGGTGGACTCGAAGTTAATGGCTCGATAGCTCATTACTGTTCGCCCCATTCCAGTCAACCTCGGAACTTTAGTGTCGTTAATAAATTCAAATTACCATTGGCAATAACGAACGTATCACTATCATCGGAAGCAAAATCATTATTTGAGGTAAGAGACAATATTGACTATTAAGCACTCTAATCTATCTAACCTACAAACATTGGAAAATTCATTATTTCAGATAAGAAATTTCATTCCTAAAGTCTTGAAACCTGGTCAAAAGACAAGTATATTTTCACTATCATTAAATAAGAAAAGGGAAAACGAGAATATACAGTTGGAGTCGTCGATACTGATTCACTCCAATGTCTCAATGACCGAGGTTCCATTGTTGAGTTACGATGGGAAAGTAAGGAAAATCATTCCTGGCGAGGGGGAGACTGATAAAGGAACTATGAACTTTGGCACGGTAGGTAGCGGTACGGAAAACGAAGCTATCTTTGCTCTGGAAAATCAGAACCCAGTGAATATTGAGCTACATGGTTGGGGAGTTAACATGCCCGGTGCAGTGTTGGAGTTGATGGGCTGCCAACAAGGTCCTACCGATCTGTTCAATAAAGGGTTTCGCAACATTACAGTCTGCAGTCAGAATGGAAACGTAGGTGGACCTTACGTTACTAAATTCAGTACTTGTCTCAACAGCCACTTAATTATATTATTTTTATTGCTGCCCCTGTACATGACGTAGCCAAAAAATTGCATACTGTTTGCATCACTAAACCTATCAATTGTATGATTCCAGCAAAACATCAAACCAGGCTATTTGGCAGTCTTCAAGATAAAAGTGAAGACTCCCATGGTGGAAGAAGACACCATCGTCGGAGATGTATTCGTGAGGACGACTTATGAACGACTTACCGTCCCAGTTTTCATGCGAGTAGCTCACGGTAGAATCGCGATGAAGAAACTCACCTTCACGGATTGCTTCCCAGTAAGTATTGTGACATCATTTCCTTTCGAGACGTTCCCAAGGATATATCTTTACTAAAAATCCTCACTTCCAGGGAGCTATTTGTATGCAACAAATAAAGGTACACTCGACGTTCGTTAGATCCATGGACGTGACGTTCGTTTCCCCAGTCCAGAAAGACAATCGTATTAAATATATCCCACTGGAAGAAACGACGAAGCCAATTATATCGAAAGGAGATAACCACATTGGTTCCATTAGAATTGATCCATCTATCACTTGCAAGCAACATTGTTATCTTGGATTGTCGTTGAATACTAGTGGTGAGTACACCCTGTGACCCGTTTTTTTGTTTTGTTTCCTTAATATCTCAGCTAATTGTATAATCATATATTTTAGTTGGCAGTCAGTGGTTAAACACGATGACTCTCCCGTCTCATGTGCGCGATTCCGACTTGAATTTATTAAACGCACGGTACGCTCGTTACTTGAATTCGACCGGAGGAGGGTCCTGGGATAACATCACGATGCGTTTGGACACAACGGAAGTTAGGGGACATAAATTCTTCGTGAACCTGAAACCTTACTGGCCCAGTCTTCTCGGTGGGTCAGGCTCGACAAGGAACAAGAGCGCATTGACTTTTCCACTAACTCAAGTCGGCCACATTTCGTACAAGACGATTAAATTACACAATCCAAGCTCTAGTCCACTGTTAGTGCAGTTAGTGATGGACTGGACTTACCCTCAAGGATCTCGTTTGTATCATTTTCTGCCTAGCAAGTACGTCGTCGATTCTACGTAGTGCAGATTTTATTACAATTAAATGGCTCTTCGTGGAAAAAAAAATTGTTTACTTAATCGTCTGGATTTTTTATCAGGTTTAAGCCTGTGTGCTTGGAGTGTCCACCCAGTGTATCGGGGGAATTCAAGCTGGAGGAAATTGTGGAAGAACGGGAATTCTTCGGCAAACATTGGGATGTCGTAGTGCCGCCGCAGACGTTACCTTTATACCTGAATCCTGGCGAATGGAAAACTATACGTCTTTCCTATTCCCCTTCGTCAGCTGCTGCGTCATCCGCACTTTTATACATTAGGTGCGTAGTAATTCGATTTTACGGTTAAGTATGATATCCACGATTTTGAAGATATTTCTACCTTAAAAGGGGAAATTCATTTAGAGTGGATTACTTTTCAGGAATAATATGACTATACTAGAAGTGTTACGTCTGGTAGGACGTGGAGCACATGCACAATTTAAATTCGGCAATCGTAAGCCAGGCTCGACGACGCCTTTGTTGTTCGAGCTTGCCGAGAGGCACCTGAAAGATTGCGAACGTATGTACGTTTTTAATCCACCGCTGTGCACTTCAGCGTGGTAATTGAATTACGTGAAGCCAAAGCATTGTTCTTTCATTTCCAGGCGAACGAGCCAGGATGAATCCTGTTCCCAACCTGACCGTGAAACGCTCCTTCACCGCCAGGAACACCGGAGAGCTGCCGATCGACATCCATGGATTTTACATAAACGGATTGCATTGCGAGGGATATGGTTTCAAAGTACTTAATTGTGCGCCCTTCAAGCTCATCCCGAATGCCACGAAAAAGATCGAGATCGCGTTCACGCCGGATTTCACGCTCTCGAGGATAGAAAGGGAACTCTTGATCCTGACCAGCCTGGGAGTCGGCAGTCCAGACACGGACGAACTCAAAGACAACGGCGAGTGGTCATTGTAATTCTTAATCCTCCATATTCGCGTTGTCAGGTTTTTTAACGATTCGGTACACCCAGTTCAGAGAAAAGTTTCATAAACGGCACTTTCGCATCCCCTTAAAGTATAGGGAGCTTTTAAATCATTTTTTATGTATCGTCTTCAGGTATGGCACGCCTGACCTTACTCACGACAGTCCCAGCGTACACTTTGGAGTCCTGTGCTGCGGTACTTACCAGACCCAGCTGGGAGAGGTCGGTACAGTGGGCAGCGATAAGTCTATCCTCGATTCTGCTGATGTGTGTCCTCGCCGTGTCGTTTCTGGAAGCCGACAGGATATTGAGAGGAGCTTTAGTCAATTTATCGAAGGCGACGCCGGTGCAGCCACCCCTGGACCTGAGGCAGCTCTCTCACGCGTCCTCTCAGTCTTCGGGTGCCGGCAAGGAGGCGTCCGAGGACAGGAACAAAGTCCAGAAAAAGGAGGAGACCTCTCCCGACTGGACGCTGATGAACGTCAAGAAGAAGGAGAAGGACTCGCAGAAGCTGATAAAAATCCCCGACTGGACCGTTGACGAGGAACGTAGGTTTAGGATGGATGTCGTGTCGAAAGAGGTGCCTTCGTCGAAACGCTGCGAGGACCCGGCTCCAGTGGACAGTGGCACTAGCAATAACTCTTTTGTTACGAAAAAGAAAAACGGTAAGAAGCAACACAATAATCCACAGGACGCCCAGGTGGAGAGTACACCTGTCGTGGAGAACACCGCGATGAGCGACATGCAGGTGATACCTGAGAAGAAGTACACCTCGAACTCCTCGACCAAGTCCAGCCCTACGACGAACAGAAAGGGAAAGGCGAACAATAAGGATGAGGTTAAGCTCGTAGAGTACGAGGTTCAGGTCGACGGGGTGGCGGGACTCTTGAGCAACGTTAGGGAAAGCAAACCGGATAAGAAGAAACCACTTGCGAGCACTAACGGGGCTAACGATAACGTATCTTACAAGAAGTACGATCCACCTGTTGGCCAGAAGGGCGTCCAGTTCTCCGAGGAGGAAACCTCGTCCACGACCACGGAGAGTTCCGTTCAGGACGACGCAACTCCTTATAAAGTACGTGTCTTGGTTCCTCTACACGTTTTTCTGACTTTACTTCCTCCATTTCCTAAATTTACTCGCCAAGTTTCGGTGTGACGCATTTATTATTAATATTTGTTCGCGATGTGTTTATTAACATTGAGTCTTCTTTTTTTTTTTCCAGGAGTCCGAGCGTCCGTACGTAAAGCCCGAGAAGATACAAAGGAAACCTTTGACGAAGAAGCCGAAGCCACAGTCTATACCCACCGTGCCATCGATAGACTATAAGGACAACTACGAGGGTGACTGCGACGACGACGACTACGACAAGGAAAGGCAAGACAATCCGAACCGTTGGAAGACTAGTACGACTAGGTCCAGCACGAAGCATCATCATCATCCGCGGAATGCCGAGTCCTCGTACAAATTGCCTCGCCAGAGTAAAAATCAGCCCCGGAAGGACAAGGTTCCGCAGAAGCGTCGAACCGACAAAAATCGCTCCAAGTGTGAGTTTACAATTTTTTTTGTATCGTTTCCTGATGTACCAAGGCGTTACATATTCATCCTCGATGCAACGAGGTGAACATGTTTCGTTACATTTGTCATCGTTACATTTTTTAGCCGTAACTGGCGGTACCACGCAGAGGGATGAAATAAGGCCTATTCAAGCCATTATTCCCTCCCCTCTGCCCCCTCCGCCGTCATGCTGGGGAGAAAACCGAGCCAAATTCAGCGACGTGGTGGCTCGTAGTCAGGACAACGTATCTCCGTTTTTGGATCACAATAAAGCGCGCAAAACTCAGGCCGTTGCACGGCCAGACCTGCCGGCGCCCTTTGTCAACGAGACGAAGAAGAGCGTCGAGTCCGCGAAGAGGCAGTTCACTCAAGAGGTCGTCCAACCTCCCTTGGAGTATGCGGTACTGTCGAAGTCGACTCACGTATGCGCACAGTCGATGGAGACGGAGAAACCCTGCATCCAGGATATCCAGTTCGTGCAGACGAGCAATCAGCTGTCGAACAGCTACTTCATCAACACGTTTGCCGAACAAGCCGTAAGGATTTCCATTAATTAATGTTGAAAAGAATTCGGATCCCTGTTAAGAGGTGTAATTATTGACTCCTGGGGATGCCTTTACAGAAACATATGCTGCAGTTCGAGCCAGACCTGGTGCCATACGATTTGCCGGAGACCGATGAGCCTCTCGTCGAGCTGGAGAGCCTCGAGGAGGACCCACCTCGTCCTCTCTGGAACGACGGCGGACCGATAATGAACCTCCTCTCCGATAACTCATCCAGCTTCGAGTTGGACTCCAAGTCCTCGGACAAGGTCCCCAACTTGTCGGACACGTTGAAAGGTACTTGAGTCTTGTAGCGATCTCCTTCGTTAGATAGTTCATCCCTGGTGTAGCCCTGACTGAAGGCGGTTATAAAGGGAAGCTGCGGTGATGAGATGGAAAATATCAGGAAGACCTCTTAGAGAGTAACGATTTCAGATAATTGGGTCACGGTAGAGACCAACTGGGAGCCGCTTTACACGAGAGGCGCGGTTGGCGAGGAAAGAAGCGGAGTTTGGGGTCTCAATACTGGCGGTGTCTGGGCTGCTGCACCCTGGGGGGCTCCAACACCGCCTTCGACGATACGCCAGTCGACCTCCTTTCATTTGACCGATCGAGACGCGCAGGTGAGACCTCCTGGTTAATACTGTCCGTATTCATGACCTCACTTGTGAAATTACGTTTTCTACGCAACATTTTTTTAAATGTCCATGAACGAATTTTTTTTTTAAATTAAATCTTTTAATAACGGAATGTATGGGAGGATGTATTTATTTATTGATATGTATATTTCAGGAGAGGTCAGGGTTCGATCCCTTCCGATCGCTCAGTACGATTTGGACGCCGTCGTCGACGGAATCATGGAAGTCGAAGTGCGAGGACTAACCCTGGTAAAAATATTTTGTGATATCAAAGCTGTCTCGCCCTTCACCCTTTCGCGGAAGATTACAGGTTGACGTTGACTCTCGGAGGTAGTGCGAGGGGACTTGTGAAAATGGAAACGCCATATCAAGGGCTAATCGATGCGAGACTGACAAGAAAAGGTTGTCCGGAATATTTGTTGAACTATGGTGACAACATCGACATTGGAGTGGAGCTCGCATCGTTGGCTTGTAATCTTCTATCCTTTTGTAAAACAGCACTCTGGCAATACGATTTATGAATTTCACGGACGACTCGGTGAATTGTGAAACTTTAATTTCTTCTTCTTTTTCATTATTTTATTTTACCTCTTTTTTTTTTAGTCTTTTTTCGTCCAGTCCCGCATACCGTACGTGAATTCAACATGTTTGAAAATCAACGATTCTGTACGACAAAGACATTGTTTCGTTGAAGTGGAAAGAACAAAGACATTGATAAAAGCAATGCAAAAGAAAGAAAAATTTGGACAGTCGTGACTTATGATTATTCCGTTTCTAACTGCTCTGTAATCGCTCTCATTAGAATGGTTAAGTCCATCGCACATTCATTGTCTCTGTTGTTTGTTATATACACGATCGAGAAGACAGTTTCATTTTGATTTGATTTGAATTAATTATTGTGCTGCGTGTCGTACAGACGTACCAATTTGTAGCTCCAACACGTACGGGTTATGATTACCCATGGGAAATTTCAACGATTTCTCAAAACTTCAACCTCTTGTTATTGATTTTCGGTTATCGCGGACTCTTGAATTTTGTTGACCGTACAAAAGGAAAGGATTTCGGAAAATCGAGTATACCTACTTTGTAAGACTGCTAATTGTTGTGTTTCAATAAAGAAAGTCTTAAAAATGACAGTTTTCTTACGAGATAGGTTCTGTAAATTTATTAAAACTTTCTCGCTGCGCGTATTTACAGGAAGTTCCGTTATCAAAGATAGATTTTCTTGTTTTTAAAGTTAATACAAATTTCTAGGGTTGTTAGGGATTGTTTAAGAATTTTAGTTCTGTAGATTTGGTACAGATAATACTGACGCGTAGTTACAACATTGTGGGTCGACAGCCCGATGTATTTTTAGGTAGTGCCCAGGACTTTGCTCCCTGAATTTTTCTTAACAGCATCTATAAACACAAAAGATTCTTGATTAACGTTGAACTTATCTTTTAAATGCAATGCTTAATTTCCAATGGGCTTGTGCAAGAGTTATGTTACCTTATTTGTAGTATTTTCATTGTGCATTAATATTATAATGTTGTACTATTCCGCTTACCATGTTGCCTTCTTCAATTTTTTTTTGCAGTCTTCTCCTATTAATTTCCGAACTGCTTGCCCGTGGTTGCGCAGCTTTTATTTTGACGGGTTTATTAATTGGCTTCTGGTAGGACATAATCTTTCTCAGCAAGATTTGATTCTCCCTTTCAATTTCCCTCATCTGGGCGTTAGTAAAACTCATATTCTTGCGACCATTTTGCATTCGTCTTTGGTCCAGCCTACTATCGCAGGTCCTTAAATATTTCATGTCATTCTCCAACAGACAAATGTCATCGTCGTCGTCATCGAAGCTGTGAGAGTGTCGATCGTGTGCCATGCACCTTAAACCAATTGAAGCATCTCTGGTTGTTCGTCCGGATCCAAATGTTGGAAGGAGTGAGGAACAGTTGCTCAGGGATGACCGAGGTGTAACATTTGTCACTTCTGATTCTTTGAACGAGTCGTCCGAACAGAAGGACTCTGTATCATAGTCCGATTCCTCATCGATGGCATCCTTGTTCTCTTCTCTGATATTCTCACCGTTCAATTGATTTCTTGCGATATTACTTTTATATGCATTACACTTGTCTTCTTGTACCTTCTTCGTCTCAGATCTTGCGCTCTGTTTACCTTTCACATTTTTACAGATTTTCTTATCTGCGCAAATGTCACTTCTTCTAGTTTTTAAAATATCATTACATTGGGCATCGGTTTGAGTATCGTTCACATTAGTCATGCTGGTTTTTTGTTAAATAAATATTAGAAAAGGAGTGTCAAAGTTCTTCTAGAAAATAATAGAAAAATCTTTGCTGAGGTCGTTGAAACGGCAGCGAAGCGCGGAATTACATTCCGCCAGAAGCCTTTCGTTACGTCTGAATTCATCGCTAATACCGGCGACACGATAGGTTAGGTAACCATGGCAACCTGTACAATAATCATCGCCGATTTCCTTTCGCTTAATTCATATTGATTGCTTTCGACATTATTATGGTAATGCGGGGTATTCAAAACAATCTGTAGTAATTGATTCGTCAATATCAGCTATTTTCAAAGGTGGATAATTTAAAAAGGCACGGTAAGGCAGTATACTTTATACGTTGACACATTTCATGAAATGATCAAAGTGCTGTTTATTAACAAAGATTTTCATGTTTTTACAAGTTTCCTACTTCTGATAATTGTAGAATTGCTAGGTGAGACATTTATCATGAAAAATACTGCACTCTGATAAACGTAAATGTGTTAACTGACGCTCATTTGACTTATCGACGGAATTTACAGGTTAAGAGTCTAGCTGCAGTCAGTTGCGATCGAACCCGCCTGCCTGAAATAGATTTCTGAATTTTAAAATGCCGTCTGATATCAATTCGTACGAAGAATATAAGAACGACCCTCGAACCGCGTGCCAATTTGGCGTGAAATGCTACCAAAAGAACCCAGCTCATCACAGCAGATATAAACATCCACCGAAAGAGCAGGTACGATATAACCTGCATATTGAAAGTATTGTTAATGACTAGAGGAAAATTAACGTTAAGCGTTTGAATATCTGTACAAATTGCAAACCTATTATTGACAATAGAATCAGAAAAAGACAGCCGAAGTAAATACAAGCCAGAAAAGGAAATCTTGCGATGACGAGAAAGAAAGCAGATCCAAGTTGCCACGGGCAGATCATACAAAGAAGGACGAAACAAAATCTGAAGTTGGCTCCTCCGAGAAAGTATCTTCGAGTCCGGAGAAGCTTTCCCACACTACATCATCTTCTTTGCATAATATGTCTCCGAGTCCAGAAAGCAACCCCGTGCAGAGTAACTCGGACACAGAAGAGGGTCCCGACTCTGCACAGGCTGCCGGCAAGTCAGAAGATGTTTCTTCGTCTACGGTTGATTCTTTGCATGAACAGGGTTCAAGAAAGGAAAGTCCAGTAAAGAAGGAAGTAACTGCGAACGAAGAAGAGTCCAGTAAAGCTGCCACCACCACTGAAGAAAATAGTGAATTGATCGGAGAATCGAGACCACCAGCTAATATTCATCAATTTATACTTGAGATTTTCTCTGTCGAGATGCCGGAAGATTTTTATAAACTTTACGATCTGTGTTCTGTAATGTCACCGAAAAAACCTCTCACTGCTTTTAATATGATTGGAATAACACTCGTTGGCCCTTATGATGTCTTAAGTGGCAAGATAGATAAATCGACAGCTTGTGATAAGGAAAAGTTTTTCAGGCATTGGCGATATTATTATGACCCTCCAGAGTTTCAGGTAAGATTAAAAAAATAAAAAGTTTACTGGATCCATATATGTTTATTACAGCTATATTATTCTTTTCATTTTAAAGACGATTATGCAGGTGAGCGGTAAAGATGGTCTGCATTTTGGTTACTGGAGAGATGAGCCCACTGGGAACCCAGTGTTCGTTGCCAAAAACAATGGTCACGTGGATTGTAAATTTACACCCGTTGCTGAGAATATATTTGGTGCATTGGAGTAAGTGTTTAAGGGTAAAATAGAAATTCACTTAAAGTAACGTTTTAGGTACTTCTTTCTGCAGATAAATTAATAAGGATGAATTTCTTTTCAAGTAAGTGCATCGGAGAGAAACTGAAAGGTGCCAATCCTTTTGAGAAAATGAAGTTACTAGGTTTACAGAGGCAAGTGAACAATTTTGCTAAAAAACATGGGTTCACTTTGGAATCGAATACAGAAAAAATGAAGGCAAGGGAGAAGAAAGTCGTGGCAAGGACATTTCACGGTGCTGGCATCGTAGTGCCATATGACAAGAAGACTCAGTTAGGGTATCGTGAAATGGCAGTGACGGATGGTAAGTCATGTTTCAAGGAATCGGTTATTTTATTTTGCCGATAGAAATCTAGCGGTATGTTTTTGTTACAAGTTAAACTGAGAAGCATCTTGAAGAAAATGGACGAGGCTGAATCATCGGAGGAGCGTCAAGAGTCCATAACCCACCTTGAAGAAGTAATCCGACTCGCCACCATAGCTGCCGACGAATGCGATTTTGGGACATGTCTCGAGTTGGGTCAGAATCTCTTTTCAAGTGGATACGCTCACCTCGAGAACCACATCCTTCACATGCTATCTACTGCATATGCACACCTAAATCGTAAGGAATTTAATAATATTTTGAAAGCACATCTGAAGGATAGAAAGAAGGGGGCCGACTTGAGCGTGGTGTAATTGTTTCCTCCTTCAAAGACGAAACAGTTTTAAGACCTATTTTTTTACAAAAGATAGGAAAATACTTATTTTTAATTTACGACCACAAACCATAATTCTTTTATAAACCATAACCTCATTATCCACTTAAAGGATAAGTAATATAACTCGACACGAATCACAAGTCTCACAATCGGGAGATAAATCGTATAAGCACAGTGTTAGAAAACGATAGCGAAGCAAATCATAAATAATGTAACCGTAACCCCAAAACAATTTGTACCCTCGTTTAAATAAAAATCTCATACAATCCAACCCCCTGTTAAGCATCGATCTCACGAAAGGATCCACATTCTCACAATCCTCCATAACACCATTTTTTATCAAGACCCCAAATCTCGAATATCCGTATCCATTATCCAGTTACGAACCGACGGTTACAAGGTATTCTTTATATAAAACTTGTTATTCGCGTCGAGAGATGGCGCCATCGTCGCCGGGCAGTTTCCACGATCCCTCCTATACCGACTCTATAAGCACGGATGCGCGAGGACGGTTTACATCTGTTGCGTCTTGTTTGCACGAGCGGTATATAACCGGCGCGCGCCGGCGGGTCCAGGCGCGGGGCGGCGACGCATGTCCGTGGCTCAGTGGAGCGCGCGACTCCGAAGTGGAAGGTCAGGCGCTTCTGGTCCCGCGCCCAGCCCAGGAGAGGAGAGAGCCGCCGGAGCGAGAGCGCGTTCTGCCGCGAAGTGCGCGCGCCTCCCTCGTGCGCGCGAGTTCCCGCGACCCCCCGGTGCGCCGCGAAAGTGTTCCCGCCGATCGCGGGCCTAAGAGGGCCGGCGCGGCGCGCGACTCTCGCCGATTGGTCGGCCATGGCCGAGCCGCCGCGGAATCTCCGGCCCGCAAGATCGAGCGGGCCGGCCCGCCGCCGGTGAGCGAGCCCGCCACTCGTGCGCCCGCGGGGTCGCGATCGCGACAAGAAGGACCCCGACCCCGCGCGCCGATTCCAACCTAAGTCGAGGTTGCGCTCTAGATGAGAGTCCGCCAGTCCCCCGGAGGCGGCCGAGGGAGGACACGAGGAGGAGCGCCCCGCGGACCCCGGGGAGCGGCCGAAGAGCGGAGCCGGCGATGATGGCCAGGTAGCCCCGGGCGAGGCATGCACCAGGAGGGCCCATGACGCCGAGGGCCCCGCAGGACGCGGCCCTGGCTCCGCGGTAGCGACCTGCCCCACTCTGCGGACGACCCGGGTATGCCCGGGGTCGGCGGCTGCGGGTAGCTAGGGCACTCGCCCGCCGACTGCCTCCCCGAGCCCGTCGAGGGGACCTTGAAGAGGGTTCCGAAGAGAACCTCGGAAGAAGACTCGCCCCCGACCCAGGGACCTCGAAAAGGTGAGCAGGAAAACTTAGATTCACTTATCTCTAAGGACCACGATACAAGCGTAACTCCCGGGGAGAGTTCCTATGGAACCCTGAAGAGGCACCTCTGGACGCGAGTGGTGCTCCCGGATGCTGCCGCGGTATGCTCTTAGGAGCTCTTCGGGGTCCTCTTTCGCTACCCGCGAGCGCGTCGTTAGGTCGAGGTAACGACGCAGTCCACTGGGTCGAGGCGGAAGAGGACGCTGAAATATGCAGCGTCCCGCCGTTTTTGCGACCCCTGCTTCACCTGGACCCGACCGGGGGCCGAGTTTTACCGAATTTCAACCCCGAAGACGGAACTCTCGCGGAATTATCCCGGAATCGGGGCGGTTTACCGGACCGGGTGTGTCGACCTTTTGGAGGTACCCTCGAGATGGTGGAGGCCGCCCCCCCATGGTGTATCTAACCTTTCGGCCTGAATTAACCCCTGAGGAGTATCCGCGCGCGCTCCACCGTAAAAATATGGGCATCGATCCGCGGCTTATTATAGTCTCCGGCCGCTCCGGCCTCGCCTGGGACCGGATGTCCCGAGGATGCGCGTCGGCCCCCCCCTGGACAGGGGCCTCTACAGGTGCGTCTACAGGTGTGTCTACGAGTCCGACCACTAGCTATCCCCATGGGTCCATAAATCCTCGGTAAAACTGTATTATCATTTTTTTTTTAATCCTAGTCTACCCCGAGAAAAAAAAATATTTTCTTCATTCAAAGTATAATTATTTCACTCAAATCGGAATAAATTGGATGCTGCGTTTTCTTTTTGGAATTATGATAATTCGGAAAAAAAATATAATTCATTCGAGTCAATTGTTATTCGAGGTAACGAAACGTTTCATTGGTACTATTCTAGGATATGGTTCTTTGGGACGATGCATTGTTCTTTTTTTTTTCTTTTTGTTCTATCTTCGTTCTATCCGGGGGATTTTTATATCTAGTGGTTAATTAGGCAGGGAAGTCTTGTCCAGGGGTGGCGTCGTCGGGGGCGGCGGACCGGGAGAGAGGCCCATGGTGGTTAACGGGGGCTCACTTTTTCAGCCAAGTCGAGCCGGGGACCATCGGGAGACCTTTCGGAGACATGTCGACCCGGAGATGACCGGGCTCCTGCCTTCGCGACGACCCCTCGTCCCATCGACGCCCTGGAGCGACGGCCTCCTGGCCGGCTCGCTCTTCGCTGGCACCGAGTGAGCGCCGCCGACCCGGCGCGGATCCGGCGCGCATCCTCAGCCATGCCGACGACCGCCTCCGTGCTCGCCGCACCGCAACGAGGTTAGTCTAGGTCTTAGTGCATCGGCGAAACCCTGAGATGGTCCTGGGGGTGGCGACGGGGTGGATATCTTACGCTTGATGATTTTTATTCCGCACCTCGTCTCGGTGTGGGGATTTTTTGGAGACGCCGAAAGCACCCTTTGATGTGCCGCGCGACGTCTTCGAGATTGTTTGTTTTTTTTTCTTTTTTTTTTTCACGTTTTTGAAATCCTCGCGACGTCGTCGGGGGAATCGCGGATTCGAGGGGTTCCCCTGGAAGGTGGGCACTAGGTGGGAGTGGGTTCCGGATGCCGACCGAGAAGAGCGTGGAAGTGGAACGGATCCCGGGGAGCCGCGTCGAGACCACTAGAGGAACAATGGACTCCTAAATACCGCGGACCTCGGCCTCCATCCGGGGCTGATCCGCGCTCGTTTGCGGCCCCCTGGGGGAGGGCGCTCGTCGGACTCGAAGAGACCGGATACCCATGGCGAAGGGCTCGACTCCTGCTCCGCGAATCAGCGACCTACCCGCCGATTATCGACCTATGCCAGGAGATGATTAAGCTTCCCTCACAACGGTGCACGCGACATCTCGGGCATTCTCCTCTTTTCCATTAACCTCGGGTCGCGCGAGGGGACGGGGCGGGGGGACGTCCCCCAGGTGTCGTCAGAGGGGGCAGTAGACGTCGCGAGTATGTCGGGAACTTCGTCAGATTTTCGAAAATCGCTAAGGGCAACGAGAGATAAACAAAAATTCATAGAAACGTGGAGACGTTACTTTGAGTGGCGTCAGTGAAATATTGACGTCGATTCGAGGATTAATTATTTCTATTGAATGGACTCGAATAAATTGTCATAGTTTGCATCGAATTTGTTGTCACGCGAATTTTGGGAAAATGCTATATGCGAGCAACTCCCGCGGCTTTTTTTGTCATTTTCACCATGGGGAGAGTGTCGGATACTTTACGTGAGATCAATCTATCGGATATTTTATGTCGATCGACGGTATGCGAGGGAAAGTCTTGATCTTGATTTTACGCGTCGAGTCCTGATCTTAATTTTGCACGGTCGAGTCCTGATCTTAATTTTGCACGGTCGAGTCCTGATCTTAATTTTGCCCGGTCAAGTCCTGATCTTAATTTTGCACGGTCAAGTCTTGCTCTTGATTTTACGCGGTCAAGTCCTGATCCTAATTTTGCACGGTCAAGTCTTGCTCTTGATTTTACGCGGTCGAGTCCTGATCTTAATTTTGCACGGTCAAGTCTTGCTCTTGATTTCACGCGGTCGAGTCCTGATCCTAATTCTGCACGGCCAAGTCTTGCTCTTGATTTTACGCGGTCGAGTCCTGATCTTAATTTTGCACAGTCAAGTCTTGATCTCGATCTCGCCCCGTGAAATCTCGGTCTCAGTTCCGCATACGTTTCTTGGTCGTGCCCTTTTAGCGGGGAAATCTCACCTCCGACCTCGAGGCACGCGGAAACCCGAGGCGAGGTCTCGGGCACCGAAATAGCACGCGGAAGAACCGCCGTGTGTACACTTGCGGCCGCCTAGCAAGACCCCGAGCACTTCGGGCCGAGTCCCTCCTTTATCCGCGGAAATAGCCCAAAGGCGCGCGCGCGGGCGCGCGTCCACTTTCCCGCGACCCGCGAGGTGTCTCGCCTCCAACTCGCGTAAGTGCCAAGTTAGGATTTCGGAAAAAAAAAAAAAAAAAAAACTTCCTTTCCCGATTTTCCCCGCTTCCCCGAAGAGTCCTCCTCCCTCCGATCGACCGAGCCCCCGAGGGTTCGTTCCTTGTTTTCGACCACGTCCTTGAGGATACCTTTATTTCCCTTCCCCACATTTTTTGGCCCTTGCCTTCACATACCATTTGTTCTTCCACCCTTGTTTTCCACTTTGTATTAACCCCCTTCTTTTTCCAACTCGTAGTCAGCCCTATTTTCCACCTCGCTCCGAACCTTTCTATATTTTCTCTCTCTCTCTCTCTCTATTTTTTTTTTCCCCCCACCACGGGGGAGAAGCGTAATTTCTTTTTTCGACGTCAGCGCAGACCTCGCTTCGATCTCCTTGATTGGAACCCTTTTTTTTTTTTTTCATCCGACCGTGGACCTCCTTTTCGTTAGTTACTGCCTTTGCTCTGTTTCATTTTTTTTTTTTCCTTTTTCATTTCTTTTCCGGGTTGACGGGGGCGAGGGGGATTTCCTTCCCCGGGTTGACTCCGTCCTCCCGTGGTGCGATCCCGCAAATTAAATCTAATCCCGTACCTGGTACCCGGGAGGTGGGGAGCTCGACCTAGTGGAGGGCTCGATGGCTTCCTAGCTCCCCTCCTCTGATAATGCCGAGATTAGGGGAGGACTTTTCCCGGAAGTAACTGGCAAATCTCCGGGATCACGGATTTCTTCCTCCTCGGGTCCACGGGATCCCTTCGATGCGGACTCGATCGCTGATCTTCACTTCCTCTTCCGGTCTTGCACGTCCTCTACTCCTCCGCGACCCGAAACAATGATTATTATCCCGTAGAATAGGAAAATATTTCCAGATAGCCCCAAGTCCTGGAAATTAATGCGCATTAAATGTCACTCGAGGAATATTGAAATCCCTGCCGAAAGAATCCTCTCTTCAGGGTCTCAGGTTAAACCCAGAAACGGAGTAGTCACCCCCTGGTCCCCCGGTACCTCCCGCGATACGATTTCCTTCAAACGGCACAATTAAGCTTTTGCGTTTCGTTCCTTGGCTGGTTCGTTTTTCCTTTTTTTTTTTTCCCCCCTCCCTACCCTCGTAAAGGAAAATATTAAAAGCACGCGACTCGGCACTGTCGTCTTATTAGGGCTCACCGCTCGTAACGAGGCCGTATTATAATTACCGGGGCCCCTTTTGTTCAGGGAAACCGGCACCACCCCCCTGTTCCCCACCCCCTCCGAGGGGAACGCGTTAAAACACCCTGTCCTCGGAACAATAAATTTCTCGGCCGATTTTCTTTTTTTTTTTCTTTTCTTAATTAAAGTGCGAGAATTCCCCCGGGGGAGGGGAACGTAATACGTCGTAAACGAAACGATTTATCGGAAGGATCTCTTATAATCGTCGGCTCGACATTAGAACAATGCATGTCGGAAGTGTTAAACCATTGTCGGCACTTTTTAATGGGGTCGTGACATTGGAATTCCGAGGTGTCGGAATTTTTCTTGCCGGAGCACGTCGGAGGCGTTCGTTAATTCTCTGTGATTTGGGAGGAGAGGGAGTGGTTTTTAATTTTTTTTTTCTTTTCTTTTCTTTTTTCCCCGCATTTTCGGGGTGAAGGGGCACAATCTCGGGCTCCGCAGGTGAGGGGGGAGGGGGGGGGGGGCACCGAAGCGTGCAGGTGCGTCGCGGATCCGCGGTGTAGCCTGTTGCATGCGGATCTGCGCCTCGGCGAGACGGAACAACGCGAATCGTCCCCTCTTCCTCCCTTCCCCTCACCCCCCTCCGAACACCCGGGAACCTCGAGTCTTTCCGGCGGATGCGATGCGGTTGAGTTTTGGGGAAAAATAGGGAAAATGGAGAAAATAGGGAAAACGGAGAAAATAGGGAAAATAGAGGTAATGGAGAACATGGAGGTAAGAGGGAAGGTTGAGGAAATAGAGAAAATAGGGAAAATGGAGAAAATAGAGAAAATAGAGAAAATAGGGAAAATAGAGAAAATTGAGAAAATATATAAATTTGCAAATCCCGTTCCGTGAATTTATCACGGTTTCGCGTTAACCAGGAGGATGGAGAACAACCGCATCCGGAAGGGGCGCGGCCGTCTTGGCGCGGAATCCGGCCGCGCGGATCGATCAAGCCTGAATAATTGACGAGGCGAAAATAAAAACCTGCGCGGGGACGGGGGGAGGACGGGGACGGGGACGGGGGGGGCGAATATGCGGAAAATTTCGCGAGGACCTCGGGGACCGGGATCGAAAGTGCCCTTTTCGGCGGCCGGAAACCCTGATGGCGACCGAGGAAATTTCCTAGGTAGGGCATGAGAGCCGCTGAAGCTTTTAAATCAGCCCCGACGCGTTGTTTGGTCGGAGACGAGCGGATGGGCCGCGTTAAAAATACACCCCCGAAGGAGGCCGCCATTTTGGTGCCACTCCCAGACCTGCCTGGAGCCTCTTCGTCTTCGCGGTGTTTTTCGTTTCTTTTTTCCTTTCGTTTATCTATGGTTTAGGAACCCATCGCCGGCTGAACGGGAATTTTTACGAGAGGGTCGGAAAGATATGGGGATCGTTTCCGGGGCTCGAAAGAGTGTTGGATTTAATTTTTCTTTGTTTTTTTTTTTTTTTTTAATTCTTCCAACAGGGATGGCACTATAAATGCAAATGCGACGAGAAATGTCGGTTTTGCGGTCTTGAATTTGGTGTTGTAAAAAAGGAAAGAAGAAAAAGAAATGCAAGGAGTGCCAAGCGGTCTGGCTGAAAAAATCGGAAGAGATTTTATTCCCATGGTTGGATGTTTCGGGCGTTTTAATTAAAATGTTTAAGTAATTCAGGGGGACGAAGAATGTAAGGGCGTAACATTTCCATGGACATCGGCACATTTGTGATACCGAGAGTAATGTTTGGCCGTATAGACTGAGACTGTGATCGCGTGAGACCATGACCAAGACTGCGAGACCAGGATTCGACTTTGCTCGTCACAAGGGGAGCCTGAAGAAGGTGGGACCATTACGGTATTGCTCCCAGGAGGCGGCGATCTCGCGCGATTTTTCCGCGAAGACGTAAGGGGGACGGGGGGTTCTCTTCGGGGCCTCCACCCTGGTGGAGTCTCGCTTTTAACGGCGATACGCGCGAAAGTGGCGGTCGTTGCCTCTCGCGTCCCTCCGGGGATTAATCCGACGTCGCTTTAAGCCGAACGCGGCTTACCCGTCGCCGAGGCTCTTCAGGGTCTCGCACCTCGGTTTCAGTAATTGGTGTTAACGTTGGCGGCATCCGCGATTACGGTTACGTTTAACGAGGGTCCCTTAAATAAAGGTCTCGGGGAAGCCCAGCATCCCGATTCGCGGCATC